TGAATATTTTTTGTAAAAAAGCATGTACGAGGTATTCCAGTTCTATCTTCTCATACACAAGCAACACAAGCTCTCTAGAAGCAACATGTGACAACAAATATATACGGAATATGAAAAAAAATCTTATTTTCAGATGAATTCAAAGAAAGGCAATTAATTAAACCTTGCAATTGAATATCTATCAAATAGGGACTAACAAATAAAAGCTACGAATTGTGGTTAATCCGAGTTAATAGGTCAGGTATTATCACCGTCCATTAAAAATTCATTTATATACCGTGGTAATTACAATGGTCATGAATAGCACAAAATAGGAAAGGAATCAGATGATAACTTACCATGGAAATTGTATTTTTTTCCTAAAAATTGAGAAGCGAGAATAAGCCACTTTGTTATGAAATTTGTAGAATGTACTTCATATTTGATTTATTGTCCCCCTCCTTTATAAAACTCTTGAAACTAAATTGTTTTGTTATGAAAACTTGAGAATTGGTGGAGTTTTTTTATATCTTTATTGGATGTAAACTTAAAGGCGTTATTGTAAAATGTGAGCAATATCCCTGATTAAATAACCCTATAACACTACAAATTCATACCATTTCGCTCATTTTGGGGTTCCATCGATTATAGCAGGTTATTTACTCGACTTAGGAGCGCTAACAATTTATTTATAGATTTAAGCGAAAATCAGGAAAACTATGAGTTATAACAAGTATTCTTTTAGTTATTTTCCTTTTAACATTTCTAGATTGTTGAACCGTTTCGATGAAGTGAATATGCAGTCTGACATATCACGATTCATAAGAAATAAAGCATCACTTTCAAACAACTACGAACAGTTCTTTAATGTACATCTTTTTTTCATGTTTCCCTCGCTCCATGTATTTGGATTCAGAACAATATGTCCGATATTAATGTACTTTTGCTTGTTAAATCCATCACGTTCTTAATGTCAGAAAAAATGTTGAATTTGAAGCCATATTCATGTTACGTATTGATAAAACCATCCAGCAAATGAATGATTTTTGTTAGTCTTTATATTATTAGGAATAATGTGGCTTTAAATTCAAATAAGGATTCATCATTTACTATTTTGGGAGAGCATTAACAATTTTATTTTTCTGACATTGAATTGTTATGGTAGCAGTGCACGCGGTATTGTCATGATGTCACAGAAGCAGGGGTTTGAATGCGAAAAGAACAAAAAGTTGCTAACGAAATATTGTAGATCAAAATTGTTAATCTAAATTTGAGACGGAGCATATATATTTTATGGTTTAAGTCCTGTATAACCAGGAGTTATCCGATGGAGATCTTCTGTCGTAAAGTTGTCACATGTTTAGACTTATTTGTATATATATATATATGTATGTGCTGGCTTGAAACAGTTTAGAATATAAATTGTACATGAATAACGTTTTAGACATGAATATGAAAGTTTCATTACTCTTGATTTCCATTTTGTAACAATTAGTATATTTCACGATATCTTGATTTATCATAGAGATTTACGGAAGGCGAAATTTCCTGTTTAAAGAGAAAGCCACTTTGCCTAATTGTTTTCTGTGTAATGTGATGATTGTCAGTTTGATATATCATATATCTATTTATTAAAACATAGATAAATTTTAGATTGAGAGGCAAATGAAACAAGGGGATTGTGAAATGGAGCACAATCAAACATTTATTATTTATGATAATAACACAGCGGAATTTAAAGAAGATGGTTATTATAGCGAATTACAAACACAAACTTCTTGTAGCTCTGACATATATGAAAGTGTAGATGAAAAGCAAACGAATATCACTCGTTGTACTTTACCACGTAAAGATTTGAACAGCAGTTATATAAAGACAACGACTTTTAAAGTTCAGCGAGGAAATGTTTGTTATTTCGTAAATGATTTTCTGAAGACTGTTTGTTGTAAATAACCTCTTTTTTATAATGAATTTTCTTTATTGTAACAAATAGACTAGCACAACATGTATGAGCAAAGGTATACAGAATGGCATATTCACACAAAGGAAGTATTAAATAATAAAACAACAATTGAATATATAATGGTGCAACAATAGGTTGAACATAAAAAATTATCTAATAACAATGGAGTCTAATTCGTTCTTGCAATATCTATTTGTGGTGTTTAAATCAAAATTCGACATTTATTAATTATTCTATAATAGGGGCCCAGGGACTCCAGTATTTGTTATATTTCTCAACAGAGAGGTTTTTAAATGAAATGTATATTTCTAAGTTAAGGTTTTCCTTTAAGTAGTTTTTAAAGCATTTAAATTTGGCAATACTTCTTGTTATTTTGTTCGGTAAATATAGTGTTTTGTAAGCAGAATAATCTTATTTTTAACAAAATTCAAATTTAACATTTTCGTAGTTACCAAATAGAATAATCTTAATATTCAAAGGCAGTTCAATATTTGTCATTTCAAAAATCCAGTTTTTTAGTACATGCCAGAGACTGGCGACCATCGGACAGCTCCAAAATAAATGTTCTATGGTCTCTGGTTCTTCTTTGCAAATTTTACATATGTTGCTACTATTTATTTTCATCTTGAAAAGTAGTGAACTAGTTCCTAAAATTCTATGGATAATTCTATATTGGAACCAGCGAAGCTTAGTTTTTTTAGTATACTTTGTACACGAAGTGTGTATTTTTGTCCAGTTAATACCAGTCATATTAAGATGGTTCTCCCATTTTTCCTTTGCAGCAAAAGTAATATATCTCTCATTCAATACTTTATACATGTCCTTTGAACCTTTTTTTGATTCAAAGAAAATACTTATATTGAAAGGTAGTATTGTTTGAAGTTTTTTCTCCTTTACTGATCGTGTTTAACCACTCATTTAGCGAGTGTGCTATTCCATAATAATGTAAAACATTTGGCCTAAATTGATATAATTAACCTCTTGATGCATATGAGTTATCATGTTATGAATCATATGATTTGCATTAACAATATCTACATATCCATGAATATGATTTGTTTGTTATTATTTCTTTCCTTGTTTTCCACACCAATTGCCGCGACTACTTTCATAAACCTATGTAAACACTGTGTCGATTTAACTTCCATTGATACATTCATACGGGATACACGAACGGTAAATTTATATAAAATAAAACCAAATGTTTGGTTTGACAATTATAAGGTTGAAACAGATTTTTCTACATGGTACTGACGTGTTAAATGGGTCGATTCACTCACAAACTTAACCTGGACTTTGTTTAATTGTTATGTGATTGGAAATCATTGCAAATTGCCTTATTTAATATCAATCATAAAACATAAAGTCATGTTTGTTAGTGCATCGGCCTAATTCACACAGCTTTTATATCATTGATTGCAATCAATTACTGTGACTTCCCAGTGGAATAAAAACCGATGATTTCACATGTGAACTTAACTCGATAATTTCACTTCTCTGACGCCAATTAACAATGGGTGATGGGTGTTTTCCAGACGTTTCAAGGCAAATTGTGTTATTCGGTCACTCGTTGAATCTTTTCTTTACTTGAACTTTTCGCTTAGTTATTCTATAATTACCTCTGGAAAAAATGTTGTTTATAAAGTTTTAGTTGCTGTTGCATTTATTGACTCATTTATGCATCTTTTTTTTCCATATCTAAGAGGGGTGGCCGAAGAGTCTAAGAAGTCAAACTACTGTATCACCAGCCTGTCAACACTGAGGTTGTGAGTTCAAACACCACACGTGGAAGCTGCATTCGACTTCAATCTTAAATGACTAGGATTTTCAGCTTTCCTTCGAAAGTCGGTGATTCTCTCTGGGTACTCCGGATTCCTCCACTAAAAAAAAATTACCTCCACGTGTTAAACACAAATCAATCAGTCAATCAATCCATATCTAAAAATAAATCTAACAATACAAATATAGCTTTGTACTGATTGAATAAACCTTTAATTGTACTAAATTATGTTGGTATTATTCAGTATAAAGTTTTGACTGATGGAGAGCCCAATACAAAACTGTGCCTCATGGTAAGAGTTTATCATAATTTGTTTAACTATCTTTTATCAGAAAAAACAAAAGATGACAGATAAATAGTTAATTATATAGATATTTTAATGTTTGTCGTCAATCCTAAAGGGACCACCATTTGATTTTCAGGAGCAGGTTGATTATTTTTGGCAAACGGGAAATGCGTTTTAACCTGTTGCTAGTTCGACTTCTATATTTTGCGCATAATTATCTGTTCAATCCAAACCAGGTTAGAATCCTCGTTTCCAAATTCAACCTGCCACCCACCTTTTTTCTTCCCCTTAAAAAACATTAAATTGTCGTCCCCTAAAAATGCTCTATCAACAGTCGACATCAATTCTGCTGGGTTATTCAATGTTCTAATTTAGGATTTAAAACTTCGCTTATCAATGAAAGAGAACATTAAAAATATGGATATGCGGTTTATTGAATTTGAAATTATAATTGATACACTGTGGTAATAATAATTGATACCCTGTGGTAATATCAACGTTATTGAAGTTCGAGTATAGAACAAACACAACAAGGCTTGCGTTTCACAGAAATGTGGAGGACTTGTGATTCCAATGAAGTCTTATACTCTATCAAATGATGAAAGTATCTCTGGTCATACAAAGCAACTCGTACGAACTTATTTGAAGCGTACGCAAGATGAACTGACAGTACATTAATTTTGTATTTAATATTAGACTGGAAACGAGCATAAATATCGCATAAATGTTTTTGTTTCTGTTCATATGAGAATCGCGATTAGAAAATGCACAATCATCAAACTTTGATATTTTTAATATATAGAGAGTTAGCAACTTATATGCATGTATAAAATGATGTAAAACATTGATAATTACTTTCCTTCTCTAGACTATTATTCTTTACAATCAAAATGATCTATGGAGATATATCTTGTAATTGGTTTGAGGAAAGAAGGAAAACGACAATTTCACAAATAAAAACGAATGCATTACACATATTTTATCATCTTAATCTTTTTACAATGAGAAAAAAATGTATAATTGTAGTGTTGAATAATACATCGGTATGTGAGTTGGCCATATGGTCTGCGTGGACAGATTGCAGTGTTTCATGTGGAAATGGTACACAATATAGACAGAGACAACAGAATGGAACATTACAGGAATGTAATCATAAAGCTGAGAATGATACAAGAACATGCACTAATAACTATTGCCAAGGTACGTGTAGTTAAGTTATTAATTATCAATAATTTGAATATCATAAATATAAGTGGAGGTCCAAGGAAACTTCAAAATGGACAAGTCTATAAAACTGTCAAAACAAAACGCTCGACTATATCAAACCACCTGGATAACTGGAAACCAAATGTTTTATTCCTGATTTGCTAAGACATTTTCCGTAGATAATAACTGATTAACCTTTGTTTTATAGCTAGCTAAACCGTCCACTTGAATGACAGTTGCATATAATTATGTTATATTGACAAAATTGTGTCAATAACCCAACCATACCATAACTGGACAAAGCGACAATACTTGAGATCTAGGCGTCAACATTGTGTCAAACTACACCTTTGATTTACAATATAACTAAATAAGATAATCTAAACAACCGTGTAAGTTTTTCTCACTGTTGAAGGTTATGAGGTTGCATATGATTGCTTACATCCACTTTATTTGAACTTTGGTGGATAGTTGTCTTAAAAGCAATCATACAACATTTCCGTATTTTTATATAGATACACAATTAAAAATATTTTCGTTTGTAGTTGATAATAAATATAATATATAAAACATAATGACATGAACACACACTGCCGAATATTTTCACATTAAGTAGAATTTCAATACTTGGGTACACGAAATAAATGAAAATAACACTACAAAAAATGCTTGCGTCCGAAGCGCTCTCCTGAACCTACCTGCATCAGATACTTATTCTTGTCGACTTGTTTCTTCATTCATATGAAACTGAACGTATACATGAGTTTCTCAGGAAAAATGAAAAGAAGCTAGCATTATCCTTTAATGTCACGTTCCGCTGTAAAGATGATGTCCTCTCACTAAATATTCCAAAGTTGATTGACTATGTTGAACAGATCGATCACATCAAATTTGAACTTGAATACTGTATTATTTCTCGTGATTTGAGCAAAAGTTACATGTTCGTGGGTTCTTAAATTCGTGGATTTTAGTTTCTTAAAAAATCGAGTAGACCATTGAAACCATCAGAAACGAAGATTCTTGAAATTAATCATCTGTGGTTTTATAATGATTCGGGACATTGCAAAATTATGAGTTCCAAATGTTAACTTCCTATTTGAATGTAGCAACATTCCAGAAGCGCCTGCAAATGGGGTATATCTCATTGTTGATACGATATCCTAGAAACTGCGTTTCGTATTATAAATGTCTTGATAAAAGGTTTCTGTTTACATGGAATCTATTCAAACAACGATTCCAAGCCGTAAAGTTGAACTTATCCCTACGACCATAAAGAAAAATCTGCGTCCTCTTTTCCACGGTCACATGAGATTTGTCCACGGAATTGTCCACATTATGAGCAACACCGCGGGAGCCATTAGTGGAGAAGGATATGCTTACGTCTGGAACACCTGAGACTACTCCCAGTTTAAGTTGGGGTCGTGTTGCTTTGGTTTTAGTTTTCTATGTAGCATTTTGTGAACTTTCGTCTATTTTAATAGTGTTTTAACCATGGCGTTGTCAGTTTTTTTAACTTATGATTTTTGAAAGTGTCTTGGTATTTTCTGCCTCTTATTATAACATAGGTCAATAGTTTGTCTTTTGAATTGTTTCATACTTTATTATACCGGCTTTTATAAGTAACTGTACATAATAGGATTAACAGATTGTAATTTGTCATACGGTATCATCATTGTGATTAGGAATTTGGTAGATAAATGTATCATGACCGCATATCACTTTTATATTAACTTCTTAATTAGTTAATAATTTATTACAGGAGAAGCACGTGTCAGTAGTCCGTGTTTAAATGGAGGAACTTGTATAACAGCCGGATGTACACATTCCTGTATATGCCCAGAAGGTTTCGCGGGGTTAATATGCGAAGGTAATTCTGATTTGAAGTTTTACACTGAGTAACATTCGGGAAACTTCCACTATAAAGTCTGATTTTTCAAAAGGCAACACTTTTCTGAAAACAAACGAAAGAAAGATGTAAATAACTCAATAACTTTTTGACAAAATAACCAGAAGAAATATTTAATGCTGGAAAAGTATACCACTTTTGCACGGTTTGAAGAAATAAGAAAAAGGCACAATTAATAGTTTAGACATCAAGGTAGAAATAGCAAAATATTATGTTTGCTTTAAGATCATCAATAGTGTTAAAAGCATTTATTAAATACTTATGTACTAAAGCAACGACTTTTCATATTTAGTTACTGGAATTATTTCCAGCGCAATCAGATTAGAAAATAAAGTTTTTTATTTGTCTTTTAGAATTAATTGACACGCCAAGAGAAGATCGCGTTGTTATGATAAAAAAAGAAATTCTAGTATATTTATGTATTAAACACAATTTTAAGTACAAAAAAAAAACATTAATAGTATAATAGATCATGTTAAACCTTTAATGGTGCATACATATATAACCCTGAGGTAACTGCAAAATTTTCCAAAATAATGATTATAAGTCTCCGCAAATTTGTGAAGAGGTCAAGGTAAAAGCGATTCCAATCCTGATATATCTAAGGATTTTGATATCGTGATTGCACTGCAATACTATTATTTTCTGTTTATTAGTCACACCATGCTCCAGTTCACCTTGTTTGAATGGGGGAACATGCAAACCAGCTGAAAGTAGTTATAAGTGTTTTTGTCCAACAGGATATTCTGGAAACCAATGTCAAGGTTTGTTACGATGGAATATTTTGTCAATATATTGGTCGACAGTGGGTGTGTTGTATTCACGATGGCACAAAATATACAACAACAAAACCATTGTTTCTTTGAAAATAAGTATCAAACTTTCATTTACGAAAAAATCATTTCGTTCATGTCAACGAATAATAATAATCGGTAGTAGGTACAGGCGGTGCGTAAATGCTGAAGTGCGCATGCAAAGATATATATCAGTATTTTCAAATTACTTAATCAAACATAAAAAGAGACGGGAATGCTCAGGTGGCAATAACAAATGAAAATCAATGAAATATTTAATTCCTTCTACGAATCATATTATATCTCTGAATCAAAAGAAATAAAAGATATTTTTATAATATTTAAAGCAGAAATAAAAAATATTGTTGAGGTTAATAATGCTAATAAAAGAAAAAATAACAGATTTATTTCAAAAACCCTAAACTACATAAACCAATCATGAAAGTTTTAACTTTGATATAATTATATAATAAAATATATTTATGTATTACCAAAACAACAAGTAGGTCACATGACTCGAGCATTCTAGGTGACTCACATATATGTTCTTTCCCAAACCAGACACATGTTTAAGAGAAAATTATAATAATGTATTCATATACTTATTTTCATTTTCTTGTAGCTTTGTGTTGTATATTTTGATGTATGTATAATCGTGTCTACCTGGGTATTTTGTATACTTAAACAGAACTTTACAACAAATCATAATACCTCACAGTCTAAAAAGCAGTGCAAACTTATTAAAGCTTATGCTACAAAAATGAATAAGAATACAATTAACTTACCGGTTAATATATGACAATTTGTTGATATATATTCCGTAAGCATTCAAATTATCCAGAATATCAAATTATAACTGATGATGGCAAACACGCTGGTTAAATTTACTAATGTGAAAAACCATTAACGGATGGAAATGAACTACTCCGGTTAACATGACATCTTTAATATTGTAATGTAATATATCGATGTACTTTTATTAGATATTCTCCCTGGATACCTTATAACTAATATATCAATTCTACTTAGTACAATGATGTACACTAAGTAAATTGTTAACAGCAATAGAGTGCAATAAAATATAATATGCTCTTATAATATACTCGATAATGGAGTGTGTGTCCGAGCGAGAACTTCTCTATGTTCATTACTTGAGGAATATTTATCTGAAACTCATATTTCACTATTCAGCCCCATTCTACTATTTAGTCAGACGTCAGGCGCTACCCTGATATACCTTGTCTTTTGTTTTTGTGCTCTGGTTTTGTGACGGATTGCTTTTGCCGTCTTTAGCCGAACAGATTTATCTTTTTTTACCTTATCCAACTCCTGTGTGCTGGTTCATATTCTGGACGCCAGTCTTTGCTCCTTTCAATTGGAAATACGGATAACCAAAAACAATAATGAAATTGCGAAATTGAAAAATACTAAATACTAAACTAGTTCAAAGGGTATCTACACGTCTCAATCTTCAAAATCGCTTATCTAAAAATACTACAATCGCTAACATATTTGATAATAAAAATCGTGGTACCCCTTCTATCAATGACTTACATGTCCCCGTCTTTCCAGCAACAATACGGTAAGGTCCACATTTAAAGGCCGCACATTTTCCTTACATTTTGAAACTGATATAAACTGAAAAACTAACAGTGTTATCTATTTACTCACATGAAACAAAGTGGGATGCGGTATTCAGTACGTAGGAGAAACTGGACGCTATTTGTCAAAACGCACGCAAAAACACCTTTATCGTTTTAAAAGACCCCATAAATTCAAAAGTATCATTTATCAACACCTTAAGAAGCACAATCGTCCTATTAAATATTTAACAGTTCAACCTTTAGAAGTAGTAAATAAGCAGCCTGGGGAATCTCATTCAAAGTTTGTACGATCACGAAAAATAATTGAATTAAATTGGATTAAAAAATTACAGACAGTTTATCCTCTCGGTCTTAATGATAATATCATTGGAATTGGTAATATATCAAGAACCGATTCTGTTAACATTTTGGATATAGTTTCTAAAACTGTTCGTAAAAGCCGTTCTCATGGGCGTAGAATAAATCGCAATCAAAGAAAATTTCGTACCAACAATATAAATATTTCGGACCTAATTTCTATTTAAAAAAACCACGGCAGATATTATCTGTTAACCAAGCTCTGTTCTTTACCTGTAAATAAATTACATCAAATATTAGAGGATTGCAAAACAATTCCATATTGCAGTCCTAAGTATGAAATCGTCCAAATTATAATTGCATATTGTTATTCAAAACTGTTTCCCAAGATTGATCGCCCTGAAGATCATAAAAAAAACATTTAATTAAAATCAAATATGTCAATAAAGGTTTTGATTTTGTAAATATTGCCGGTATTTTTAATGATCATTCTGTTAAGGAACAAATTCCTGGTTATTTTGATAATACTGAACTCCCTCTTATTTGTTATGTTTACAAAAAATCTACCCGTTTGTGTTTAATTATAGCAAAGTGTGTAAAGATGTAAATATCAGTGCCAATACACCTACGTCATGAAATTGCAGTATTTCCGAATACATTTATGGCCCCAGTTCCCATGTTATAACAGGAGACCTTAAGATCGTTCGTGACCGAGAGTTGAATTCATTCCTCAGTAAAGGACTTAAATATCGTCCCCCGTCAATTATTAATTGGAATAAGTGTCGTTACATCATCCACGACTCACTCGATTTACTTACTGCTCGAATGGATAAAACAAGAAAACGCTGACTAGAAATCCTTAGATTCTTTTTTTTTAATTCAGTAATGAACATAGTTGATATACGTATACAACATTTTAAAGAACATTTTACTCCTAACAACAACCATAAAAACCCTATTTCTCGTATCAAACATAAGCTAAAAGAATTCGCCAAGGAATTTTTATTTTGTCCCGGCTAATAAGGCTGCCAATAATATCATTATTGTTTGACGTAAATTTTACATTGAGGTTCTGCAAAATGAAAATCACGAATTCACCAACATTCCAATTGACTCCATTTTCAGAAAGTGACATCTGTTACAAACACAAACTAATAGCTACTTCTTTACAAGCAGAACCAAATACAATGAAAGTTCCAACCATGTACTGGCTTCCGAAGCTGCACAAAACACCTTACAAATATAGATTTATTTCATCTTCAAGCCATTGTTTCACTACTAAACTGTCTACTCTACTTACTAGTACACTTGGTACAATCAAAAACCTGGTAATAAATTGTTCCAATAAGGCCTTTGAAAATAGTGGAATTAATTACTTTTGGAGTGTCAAAAATTCGTTGGGAGTACTTGATAAATTACATGCTTATATTGGTAATTTCGAATCTGTTCAAAGTTCTGATTTTTCTACCCTATATACCACTTTGCCCCATAATCTAATTAAGAAAAATTCACACACCTAATTTAACAATAATCTTTACAAATCACAAAAATGTCGGCATTGACCTCAAAAGCTAACCAAACCTTTAAACAGACTTATTCAGAAGGGATATAGTTACGATACTGTTGTCAGTTCATTAAAGATGGCATATTTTGGTATTAACATTGATCCACTCATAGGGTCTTTGCATCGGAAATTAACACATTTATTCTAAAACCAGTTTTGGCATGATACGGGTTATGTTCTCATATATTTTATGATGGTATGATACTAAACCCCTAACGGGAGGGATTGTGCTTGATTTTCATATGATGAAGACATAATCTTTCAATCAGTTTAATTGAAGTCTGGAGCTGGCATGTCAGTAACTCCTAGTAGTCCTTTGTTAATTTATATATCATTGTCATTTTACTTAGTTTCTTTTGTTGCCTATTCTGACATTGGACTCGGACTTCTTTTAAACTGAGTTTTACTGTGCGTATTGCTGTGTGTTTGTTTTTTCTACATTAGCTAGAGGTATAGGAGGAGGGTTGAGATCTCACTAAACATGTTTAATCCCGCCGCATTTTTGCGCCTGTCCCAAATCAGGAGCCTCTGGCCTTTGTTAGTCTTGTACGATTTTTAATTTTAGTTCATTTATATGTTTTGGAGTTTAGTATGACGTCCATTTTCACTGAACTAGTACACATTTTTGTTTATGGGCCAGCTGAAGCCCGCCTCCGGGTGCGGGATTTTCTCGCTGTGTTGAAGACCCATCGGTGGCCTTCGGCTGTTTTTTTGCTTTTTTTATCGGGTTGTTGTCTCTTTGACACATTCCCCATTTCCATTCTCAATTTTAATCATGTTAAAAAAAGAAAAATCAGAGATCAAGATAACAACGATTCCAATCCGGAAATATCTAAGGATTTCGAAATGATGATTGCACTGCAATACTATTATTTTCTTTTTTTTAGTCACACCATGCTCCAGTTCACCTTGTTTGAATGGGGGAACATGCAAACCAGCTGGAAGTAGTTATAAGTGTTCATGTCCAACTGGATATTCTGGAAACCAATGTCAAGGTTTGTAACGATGGAATATGTTGTCAATATATTGGTCGACAATGGGTTTATTGTAATCACGATGGCATAAAATATACAACAACAACAAAAAAACATTGAACAACTAAATAAAATACATTTTTGTTTCCATGGAAAATAAGTATTAAACTTTCGTTTACAAAAAAAAAATCATTTCGTTCATTTTTTTGTAATTTCGTATAACCGGAAGATATATTTTAATTCTGGAAAAGTATATTATTTTTGGTCTGGAACAAAAAAAATTCTAATGCAAAGATCGAGGAATCTAAGAACACATGCTTTACAATTTTTAATCGAAAAAGATCAACTAAATAGTAATCAAAAAAGATTGTATATTGATTACATCATTTCGGATAAAACAGAGTAATCCCGAAACAGAGGTTCATATACAAAAAAACGAAGTCGCTGACCCCTTTTTTGATAACACTACCTTTTTTAAGTTCATGAAATACCTCGCCAAAACAATATTCATAATAATATACCGGTAGAAATGTATAGACTGGTTGGTCTGAAAAGGCCTTAGCTAGATACATCTTTTCATTAGCCGTTAAAGAATCTAAAATAGACTATTGGTAATTTCATTCTTCATATTTTAAAATGAAAATAACGCCAAATTTTTCTATTCAATTTCAATTGTTTAGGACATTGTCAGCCGATGACAACGTTTTTGGTGTATGCTTTGTGCTTTGGAAATATTACCAATAATGAAGTTGGTGTTTACTTAAAGGTCAGGTCAGACATAGTGTTAAAATCACTTAATGAATTCTTATTAACTAAAATGCCTAATTCCCTAATTGATATAATGGCAATTGTATCAATCTAGTTAGATTGAAAATAAAGATTGCTTTCTGGTCTATTAGAGTAAATATACACTCCGTTAGAAGAACGCTGTTATTGTTATATATCCATGAAAAACTTTCACTCAATAAAACGTAAATAGTATAATAGATTTTGTTTTGTCTACTTTGGCACATGTCCATTTATCATATTGAGGGAACTACAGAATTTCCCGATACAATTATTATTATGATCTTTAAAAAATTATCAATGGGTCGACGCAAACACAATTTAAATCATTACATATCATAGCATTTTGATGTAATGATTTCATTCCAATACTTTAATTTTACTTGCTTAGTTTCACCATGCCACAGTTCACCTTGTTGGAATAGGGGAACATGCTCACCAACTAGAAGTAGTTTCGTGTGTTCCTGTCCAATTGGATACTTTGGAAAACAATGTCAAGGTTTGTAAGGATGGAATGTTTGATCAATACATTTGTCGACAGCGGGTTGATTGTATTCACGATGGAACAAAATATGCAAAAAATCTTTTAAAAGAATGAAATATTACAACTACTTCACCCAACAACTTTCCTATTAAAAATAAGTATTTATCATTTCATGCATGTCAACGAATAACAACAATCGGTAGTAGGTACAGGCGGTGCGTAAATTCTGAAGTACGCATGTAAAGTTATATGCCTGTATTTTTAAATTCCTTAATCAAACGTAAAGACTGACGGGGCTGCTAAAGTGGCAATAACAAATGAAAAGCAATGAAAGACAGAGTAAACCATAATTAATAGAACATAACTTTCAAACAAACAACATTACGAAATCATTGGCGCATGACAAATAATTACCCTGAGGTTACTGGAAAATTTTCAGAAATAATGATTGTTATACTGTTAGCAACAATTTCAATCCCGATATACCATAACATCATTTTTATATAATGATAGCACTCCAATTCTATCGTTTTATTTTTCTAGCCACACCATGCTACAATTCACCGTGTCTGCATGGGGGAACATGCACACCAAGTGGAGGCACTTTTGTTTGTTCCTGTCAAACTGGATACGTGGGAAACCAATGTCAAAGTTTGTTACGATGCAATTTTTGCTAAACATTTTAGTCGACAGTGCGGTTTATTGAATTTACTATGGCACAAATGTTTAAAAAAAGACACCTAAAAGAAATAAGAAATTAATACTACTTTATCCAGCAACTTCATCAAATCAGCTTTTGGTTCTATTGAAAATAAGTGAGAAACTGTTTATAACAAAACGATTTATGCATTCATATCTACGAATAACAACAATAAATAGAAGTAACAGGTGGTAGGTAAATGATGCAGTACGCAAGACAGTTTTTAAATTCCTAAATCAAACATTTAAAGGATCGGGGATACTCAGATGTCAATTACAAACTAAAAAGCGACGAAAGGTAGTAAAGACCATTAGTGATAGAAAAAAAACAAACAAACAACATTCCACAAAAATACCTAGCAATTTTATAACTAAGAGCATTACAAAATCTTTAAGAAAAACAAAAAAAGGTGTGTGATATCCGTCTCGTTTTTGATGCTACATACGGTGACCTTGATGAACAGTTTATCGTTTTGGTTAGCGTTTGTGTAATATAGAAAGACATATATAAATGTATTAATAGATCTTTTTATTTGGTTTTTTTTTTTATTGTGCTCTCATTGTGGGAAAGCATTTTTCCTTTACTCATTCCGTCGACAATTTCGTTCTGTTCTTATTCTTGAATTGCATTTTTCAGTTAAACCCTCTTGTTCGTATGGTTGGAAGATGCATAACAACAACTGTTATTACTTTAGTGGTACCAGCACATCTTGGATAGCTGCCAAGGTTGTAAATATTTGTTTACTTTGAGTATTTACAATTAAACGTTTGAATACAATTATTCAAGCATTCGACCATCACTTGGAAACAACAGGAAACAAATGTATGAATCCATAATAAATGAATTATAAAATTATAAGATAAAAAGGTAATGGACCTTTAAAGAATCATTCATATACATCTAATTCTACAACTCTTGATATTTATCCACTCGAGTTGGTTAGATATTTATTCACTCGAGTTGGTTAGCTATTTAAATTCTTGAACGCGAGGTTTACCAAACATTTTCAAATTTGAAAGTTAAACTATTTAGCTTTATGTTGAGACTTATTACCTTCTTTAATCTTTATTTGTTTCTATAGTTTGGTAACAATTACACTCATAATTTGCTTTATCGCATATAGCAAGACATAACAATAGACTACACTTATACTGGAAATAAGAAGATTGGCATCTTTACTTGAAGATATGTGTAAAATACAATACAATACAGTTTATCTATGTATACATGTGCGTATTTCTGTGTGTTTGTTTATTCTGCATTGGCTAGAGATATAGGGGAAGGGTTGAGATCTCACAAAACATGTTTAACCCCGCCGCATTTTTGCACCTGTCCCAAGTCAGGAGCCTCTGTCCTTTGTTAGTCTTCTAATTTTTTAAATTTTAGTTCATTTTTATGTTTAGGAGTTTAGTATGACGTCCATTTTCACTTAACTAGTATACATTTTACTTCGGGGCCAACTGAAGCCCGCCTCCGAGTGCGGGATTTTCTCGCTGCGTTGAAGACCATTGGTGGCCTTCGCCTGTTATCTGCTCTTTGGTCGGGTTGTTGTCTCTTTGACACATTCCCCATTTACATTCTCAATTTTAATTTTATACATGTGTTATATAAAACATCCTGACTTTTGCTTGGCTGAACATAACACTTCTCAATGGTTGATCGATTTTTTTTATAAAAAAGAAGAACGATGAAAATCTCGAATGTTGTTTTTTTTTAAAGATAGTGATAACGGTAATAAACGTTTACGTTTCCTTAGGAACCAGATTTATTTTAACCACATTTAGGAAACCGACATTGCCACATTGATAATGTTTAGGAAAGCATAATTCTGTGGTCAGTAATTCGTTTATTATATTCCTTCTCATTATAGTTGTCTTTTGTTTGTTTGACTTTTGGTGGTCACCATTTCTCCTACATTTTGCTGTGGAATGCAAGAAACTTAACACAGATGTTTACTTTTACGTTGAGTTGTGCATATTTGTTTTAATAAATATAAGGATGTATTTTCAGAGAGCTTGCTATCGGTATAATAGTATGCTTGCAGAAGCAACAACAAGTAGTGAGATAAGGTTTCTTAAGACAAATGCAGAAAGGGATGGAAAAAGTAAGTACCTGCAATTGTAAAAGTGCACTGTTTAGTAATTTTTTTTTACCAAAAAACAAATTTAAGGATCTAGAAATGAAATCTACTAAAACACAAAAAATAATAACTATATAAACAAAATTAAATAAGTGTATATAAAATGTGTATTGGGAACTTGTCTAAAAGGTTTACGTTCTAAATACTAACTAATGGATAATCTGAAACTCTTAAATAAACATAATACATCTCACTATTTTAATGTTCACTTAAACCGCTTAAAGTTTGACAGTCACTTTTAAAGATTAAGTTTGCTCTTGGTAGCGAAGTCTATTAAATGGCATACACTAGTGTTTCAATAAGGTTTTTCAAAACTATCTGTATTTTGTATTCATTCCCATGATTTATCCATGTACCATTTAAGCCATGATCAGTGAATAAAAATGAATCAATTATAATCACAGCATATCTTTTCTTATATTTATTAAACTTTTAAACTTTGCATTGAATAATACTAAAATTGTATTGATTGCGTGCGTCCAAAAAGCCTTTCTGGTTTTATCTTCATTTAGAGCGTACTAAATATAGTTAGTTCTGGAATCATTCGTCGTAAACACTGACACTAGAACTTTACCATTATAAAACTACATCAGAGTACAGTCATAATTCAAAATAGTAGGCAACTGTAGTAAACGCAATGTTGTAAGATCATTTAATCATTCTGCTATTCCAGCAGGAGTTTTATGGTTTTACACTCGTACATGTTTTGTTTTAAGTTTGGCTTACAAAACTGGTCTAGAACGAACTTAACGTGCGCAATTATCTGTATATGTTTTATCTTCAACATAGTAATATTTTATTTGTCTTTGCAACTGTTTTGATTTGAGCGCCACTAATAAGTACAATAATCGCTAGTCTGTTTTGATTTGAGCGCCACTAATAAGTACAATAATCGCTAGTCTGTTTTGATTTGAGCGCCTCTAATAAGTACAATAATCGCTCGTCTATTTTGATTTGAGCGCCATTAATAAGTACAATAATCGCTCGTCTGTTTTGATATGAGCCCCACTAATAAGTACAATAATCGCTCGTCTGTTTTGATTTGAGCGCCACTAATAAGTACAATAATCGCTCGTCTGTTTTGATTTGAGCGCCACTAATAAGTACAATAATTGCTAGTCTGTTTTGATTTGAGCGCCACTAATAAGTAGAATAATCGCTAGTCTGTTTTGATTTGAGCGCCACTAATAAGTACAATAATCGCTCGTCTGTTTTGATTTGAGCCCCACTCATAAGTACAATAATTGCTAGTCTGTTTTAATTTGAGCGCCACTAATAAGTACAATAATCGCTAGTCTGTTTTGATTTGAGTGCCACTAATAAGTACAATAATCGCTCGTCTGTTTTGATTTGAGCGCCACTAATAAGTACAATAATCGCTCATCTGGCGTACCAAATTAAAAGCCTGGTATTTTTTATGAGATTTTATATTATTGAAATACATATATTACTCTCAAACAAATATTTTCAGCTTTTTGGCTTGGTGGATCAGATCTGGTTAGAGAAGGTGCATGGGTGTGGACAACAAGTGGACAGAGATTTACAGTAACGGATTGGCATAGACGTACTATACATGAACCAAACAATCAAAATGGAAACGAACATTGTTTGAATATTAATGAAAGATTGGACTATGAATGGAATGATGGACAATGTTCAGAAAGTAATAACTACATATGCAAAAAACCGTTAGTACATTCTTAATTGTTATACATTATATTTGTAAATAACATACCTGATATTTTGCCGCTTTCTTGTCTATCGACCAAAGTCGATCCAACAACAGACAAATTCGAAACGTCCCAAACGTTCCAGCCCAAGTCGATCCGGCAAATATTTCAAGTCGATCAAGCCCCATTTTGAAAAATATTCACAAAGAATAAAAATAATATATATGATTTGCAGTTCAAAAACATACAAAAATTTGTAAAACCTACTCAAATTGAGATATGTTGTCAGGAATATGACAGTTGTTTTCCATTCGTTTGATGTGTTTTACCTGATGATTTTGCCATTTGATAAGGAACTTTCCGTTTTGAATTTTCCTATGAGTTCGGTATTTTTGTTGTTTTACGATTTTCTAATTGGATTAATCATCATTACTAATTCCTAAAAGTAAAAATATTCCTTCGATTATCCATCGACGACATTTTCACAAAGTTTTCATTTCCTTTCGATTTTTGCGTAATTATCATTATTTTACTATGGGGGCCTAATCGACTTGGGGCCAGAACGACTTGGTCCGGATCAACATGTGCCGATTCAATGCAGAATTCAATTAAGAAAAAAAGTAAATGTATACCGGTAGTTATTACATCTACGTTTTGATCACACTAAGGATGATTCATAGTTCTGCTGATATTCATAAAAAAAATTAAAGTTTTAGATTGTGTATCCAACCATACTTAACAACATGTAAACTGTTTCTTAGAAATTTGCAGAATCGTGCGTTCTGTACGCTTCAGCTGTATCTCTATATAAATTTGAGTTGCCATCATACGATCTTTGCATCCTTTTATTGAAAAATTATATATTATTGATAAGTGGTGTTGCTAGTCTTCCTCACTCCAATTTTTGTTTTGTTTTTGGCTGCAATGTGTATCTTTGTCAGAGGCAAAACTATTAAAAAAAGTAAGACGAAGAATACCAAAGAGACATTTAAACTGATAAGTCGAAAATAAACAGATAACATCATGGCTAAAAAAGAAAAAGACAAAAAGACAAACAATAGTACACCAAACACAACATAGAAAACCAAAGAGTGAGCAACGCGAATCCCACCAAAAGCTTTGGGTGATCTGAGGTGCTCAGGAAGAGTAAGCAGATCTTGATTCACATGTGGCTTCCGTCGTGTTGCTCATGTTAGAACAAACCCGATGATAAGTCTAAATGGGTAGGTCACATTCGGGGAATAGGGGACGGGATTGTAGTAACGACCATTGGAACATACCCGTTCTCATTTATGAAACAGATATTCCATCACAATGAACCAACTCGTGATGGCGTTCGTAAAATATACACATCGACAAGTTCAACTTAACAACTTGGAAATCTTGGTTTAATATCTTCCTTGTGAGCAGCAACCCTATATAAAGGAAATCACGATAGGAAATACAAGCCCTGGAATATCGTATCAACTAGGAGATATATACTCCGTATGCAGGCGCTGCTGGAATGTGACTATATAAAAATTCACAATTGGAAAGCTGAAATCATCTCTTTTGTCGAAAAGTTTTGTTTTCAACCCACCATCATTTTCAATTTTTAGATGTAAGTCATGATATGACACAGACTTAACTGTATTAGTTGTATCCTTTATCTCCAGTTTGATGGGGTAGATGCGTTAAACATAGTCACCAAATTTTGAATTATTTAGTGAGAGACCATCATCTATAAAACGGAAAGTAAAGTTAAAGGATTCTGCTGACTTCTTTTCTTTCTTCCTAAAAAGTTCCTGTATGAAGTAAGCCTCTTATGAATAAAGGAACAAGTCAGCAAAAAGAGGAGCACAATTGGTTTCCATGGGAATTCCGATTGTTTGTTGAAAAACACGTCCTCTGAACGTAACAAATATGTTGTCAATCAAGAAATCAAGCATCTAGATAATGTCATTTTCAGAGAATGTTTTGTTTGAATCAGAATGATTTTTTACAAAGTACGATTTATCTATTTAGAAAGTTCAAAAAGACCATAACAATTAGTTCTCTATAACTATGACATAACAAGCTTTAAGTCAAACAAAGCATGTTCTTTCAATGCATCGTCTACGAAAGTTGACGACACAAAATGTTTCAATTGATTTGATTGCACAATCAATTCCCCATTAATACACGCCTATTTCAATGTTATTTTCATTTCAGATTGATGTGAGTTATATGAAAGAAAGAACACACAACGAGTTGAATTGTTTAAATTAGTTATAAATATTACTGTAAATAACAGATGGGAAGTTATATTGTTACTTTCTCTTTGCTCTTATCTCTAACATGCTACATATGCTCGATATGTATATATAAAACTGTTTCATAAAGCTACTCATATCCAGCCTTACTTCTAGACAAGAATAAACCTCCAAGAACCATGTTTTATGGAAACTATACATATTTGTATTGTTGTAGTTGGTAAATCGATACTCCAACTTAATCGTTCTGTGAAGGTTTTTTAGACTCCTGTAAACAGGATCTTTTTAGCAACATGAAGCACTTAAATATCAACCCGATTTATTGGTTGTATTCGTGTTCCTTAGACCATGTAGACTGTATGTAGTGTTTTGTGAAATTTTGCATTATCGTCGTTCGTTTTTCCCGTGGTGTTGTCAGATTGTTTTCGACCTACTAGTTTTGAATGTTCTCCTGGTATCTTTTCTCACTTTTTTAGCATCAGACTTTAAGGACTAAAAGAGAAGCGAAAGATAAAAAAGGGACATTCAAACTCATAAGTCGAAAATAAACGGAAAACTCCATGGCTAAAAAAGAAAAAGACAAACAGACAAACAATAGTACACAAAACACAACATAGAAAACTAAAGACTAACAACACGAACCCCACCAAAAACTGGGGGCGATCCCAGGTGCTCCGGAAGGGTAAGCAGATCCTTGATTTGAGTTTCCATTAAGATGATTTGTATTACTTATGTACATTGACATGCTTTAGATACCATTAAATAAATGTATCTGAAAATAACTGATGTGAAATTCTTGATAAATAAAAATAATGTTCAAACTGATTGTTATTTTCTTTTACGTCTCCTCGAGTCCATTACTAGTATTAAGAAGCACTGGAAGAACTGTATCGTCCTGTATTGGATACCTAAACTAAATAACTGTCCTTACAAACAACGTTATATTGCTGGGTTTTCCAAGTGCTCCACGAAACTTCTTTCTAAGTTATTAACATCTATTTCATCAGCAATCCAAGCCGGGTATCAAAGTTGTTTTGAAACTACCTATTCTAGAGGTGGCGTGAATCAGATGTGGATACTTAAAAATTCAAAAGATCTTTTAGAGTATATACAATCAAAGTCTCTTTCATCTTGCAATAGTATTAAAACATTTGACTTTTATATGCTTTATACAAGTATTCCCCATTCCAAACTTAAAGGCAAATTAAAAAAGTAGGTCCAGCTTTGTTTCGTAAAACGAATTACATACGTAGATACAAGTTTCTTGTCTAAGGAGGGATACATCGTACTTTGTAAAAAATCACTCTGATTCAAACAAAAATTCTCTGAAACTGACATTATCAAGGTGCTTTATTTCTTTATTGACAACATATTTATTACGTTCGGAGGACGTGTTTTTCAATAAACAACTGGCATTCCCATGGAAACCAATTGTGCTCCTCTTCTTGTCGACTTTTTACTTTATTCATATGAGCCTGACTTCATACAGGAACTTCTACGGAAAAACGAAAGGAAGTTAGCAGTATCCTTTAACTTTACCTAATAATACTCAGATTTAAGTATTCGATTAACCTGAAGCTGAAAAACAAAGGGAAATCTAATGAAAAAATATTACCTCCTCTGTAAACACTGAAAACTAAATCTTTTCAATGTTTGTCCCATTTTAACAAGGACGCTATCAATTATAAACTGACGAGAAAACGTTCTGGCAAATAATAAGAATAAAAATTAATTGAAATAAAAACAAAATTTCCAGTTAATGTTATCATTTCCCTCCTTATATACTACAAGTACAGCAGGCTGTCGGGGCTATGTGTGATATAAGTTTGAAGTGTTGCTATGCGAATAAATTCCTGGAGTACCAACTTCATTTTATTTCCTGGCTGCATACCTCTCTGGAACATGCCAAATATCCGTATAGGTATACAGATAGATCAGAGAAGTGCAAGTCAGCAAATATTATCACTTTCGAAATCAAGATACTAAGCAAATTCAAACGGACCTTATCCCGATGTAAACATGTGAATAGATTAAGAAGACCGTAAATATATATATACAGAAACAAGACGACCTTTTCTTAAAATTTTATGGAAAACAGCAAAACTCTTATATAAATATTTATCTTTAATGTTTTAACCTGCACAGACACGACTTTTAAAGTGGTATATTCACAAAATAACAACATTTATATATTGAATGTTCACGTAACAAGAACAGACCAGTGAAAAATATGTATACTTTGGGATTGTAGCATGCTAAGGACTAGTTGGAACACTCCGAAAATTGGTGACCTGAAAGATCTTTAGATTTTGTATGTATATGATTTTTTCCATTTCTTTTTTATTTATTTGTTTTTTATAAATGCAGCAAAGATTAACATGTTTTTATATTTTCATTCTCACAAGCTTTTCCTGTAATTATCTCGATAAATAATGAACATAAGATAAAACATTGTGTATTTGTATGTATATTTCTAAAAACCCAGTTTAACAAATATTTTTTTTTTTGTTGTTTACAAACAAACTATTCATTAGTTTCGTCACCGGTATTTTCTTTTGTTCTCAGTCATCGGTTTAGCCATTTGGATGTGGAAAAAAAACCACACGATATAACATGCTCACAAGAATGTTGACAACTGTCAAGCTCATTCAATTCGTAGTTCCAGAGAAAAATGTGACTGAAATCTCATATTTAGTCATTTTGTGTAAAAATATGTAAGTATTCGCTAGATTAAAAGTTTAGTTTATCGATGTTCAAATCTCGTATTTCAATTGGAAAGAGACAAGACGAGAAAACTAAGAGAGTCATGATAGGGGAACTTAATTTCTGTATTCTTTAAATTTAATGTTTTATGTCAAGTTTCTTTATCTTTAAAAATAACGCTTATTCTGTCAAATTCTGGTGGAAAGGATTTTACTTACAATATTCTGTAAATAGATGATTTCTTAATCTGTACATTGTTCATTTCTGAAATCAGTATTATATCACTTAAGTCTTTTCTTTTTCACAATTATGCTTTATTTTTTTGCATTTGATTATTCTCTAATCTTTTCTTTTTTTCTAAGTTTTCTCTTTTCGTTATTTTTCTGGCCTTTTTCTCTATTCTGTTAACCCCATCTGGTCCCTCAAAAAACAAAAAAAACTGAGGGACAAAAGATGGCAAATGTTTGGATACAACTATAACCATTGCAGCGTTTTGAGTTTATTTGTCCCAATTTTGAAAAGAAATACCCATGGAAAACTTTATATAAATACCTTTTGTTTCATTTTCTGATCTTAATATGCTTAATGTAAGTTTTGGTAGTCGTCTCATGGACAAATTTTAATCATAATAATGTTTTGAAAATAAAACGAAAAATAAATCAGTATGCAAATTGATTTTGATTGCTAGTATTAATGCACTTTCATCACTATTGGCTATATGGTAATGGTCAGCTTTTATAAGTTGAGGAAGCCAAAGTGCTCGGAAAGAACCACCCGACCTTCGGCAGGAAAGTTAACAATCCTAGTCAATTAAGATTGGAGTCAAACTCACCTGCCACGTGCAGTTTCGAACTCACAACCTCGGTGCTGACATTCTAGTGATACAGTAGATGAACTACTTAGTCCACTAAGCCACCGAAGCCCCTTAAATTGGTATGAAGCAAATGTGATGTGGGAATACATCAATGAGACACAATTCAAGATCAAAAGTCAACAAATGACGTCTACAGGACAACACAAAGTATAGAAAAAAGAAAATAGTCAGGTGACTATACAATTTGTCCAGCTCTACATCGTCCTAAGTCTTGCACAACTCGAAAGGTACCACTGGTGGAGCAGGATTTTCTTCCTTTTCTCATGTTTTTTAGATGGGGTTTGTTTTGCTAAGTTTGTTATTCAATGTAGTTTTTTGTAGACTGTTTGTCTTTTTGTCGTTTTTCTTTTAATTATAGTATTGTCTGTTTTTCTATGACGTGTTCTTCCGTACAACTTATGCCTTTTTAATATGTAAAAGTCAATATTGTTAGCAGAAACAAACAAAGATCTGTCAAAAAGACCCAATGTTTTGTTATCACACCAGATACAACAAATACACGGGTCCCACTGAGTTATGCAGTGAATCATTTAGAAATAACAAATACATGCATTTAATTTTTGGGTGTGTTTTAATTTTTGGCTATGTTTCATTAGCCCTTTGATATAATTTGTAGAGCCTCGTTTACACCAGAGACAGTTTCCTGATGAAGGTAAATCCAGAAAAGCGCTTCTGACGCATGAAATTATTAATATGTTGATTTCATTTTTTCCAAGTTATTCTTTATCATAAATATTACGATGGATGTCACTGGTGGAGCAGATAATGCTGGTTCTTTCGAAGGACCTGATCTTACTCCCTCCTGTGTTTGGTGGTGATTCTGATGTGTTTTTTCTTTGTTTGTTTTTAAATGTGATGATTTATCGACTGTTGTTTATCTGATTTTTTATTTTATTTTGTAGTTTCTTGGGATCAGGGGTCTATTTTTAACGTTTTTCTCTTTTGTCTGTGTGTGTATGCGGGGGGAGGGGTACTATGTCCAGATGAAATGTTTATTCATGTAAGTGTAGAACTATGACCCGTTATAAATTGTTCTTCATTGCCAAAGCATATTCCATACACTGGTATACCTGGTAAATTCAATGTTTATAACAAAATCATCTATTATACATATTCCTTGTCCAGGAGACGATACCGCAGCTTAGAATTAAACACATCAATATCCTCAGTTGTACCTGGAAGGGCCAATTCTGATAGCAAACTTTGTCCATCACTGCTGTATTTCACTATTTTCTTCTTCTCACGAATTGTAAAAAGTAGAAGGTTATGTATAAATATACCAGACGTAGAGCCCGCACCATACACACGTCGATAACTTGTAGAATGTTAATATTTCCAGTGCGGAAGCTTACTTTTTCTATCTCAAGGTTATCACTCCAAGAAGTTTCAGAAAATTCATCAACTTTAATGCTTCCAAAGGTTTGGGCATTCCTGATAAAATCTGCAATAGGAGAGGAAGAACTGAAAACAACTGAAACATTCTTGTTCAAGTTCCGAGATTTTAGGTTCGATTTTATTAATTTCCATCAGGCATTGCTGTTCGGATCCGTGTTCTAGAATACTGTCTATCACTGCTTTCCATTTTTTGACGGCGCATCTGTAAGAAGAAAGAATATCTACTTCGTCTTTTAATTCTATTCCATCCTGCTTCTTGGTTGAGGTCAACTCGACTATTGTGGTTTCTTCTATTCTGTCTAAATGCTTTGAAATTTCCGTTTTTATATCAGCCACTCTTCTCTTATTCTCTTCTGTTGAATTTTCAACATCAGCTAAATTTTTATTTCGTTCATCAATAACTTCACTGAACTGAATAACGTGCTCTCTAAGTCTCTGTGATATACCAGACGCTTTCGTTGACTGTTTGATACCGGATGCGGCTTTTTGTATTAAAGTGACATTTACGGTGTGAAAGTGAAGCACATGACGTGCAACAAGGCTGAGAATGATCCAAACAATAAAATTCGACGATCTTCTCTGAATGCTCTTCACAGCTTTGTATCTCACATACTTCGAAAGGTGTACCCCCGGACTGCATTTCTTGAATGTTGAAAAGATTATGCCTTGCTAACATCTTAAAATTTTTGTGATATTTCTCGCATTGGTCACAGAAAGCCTCCTCACAAATCGTACACCAAGATTTTGCTTTTTTGCTTTCTTTGTTTAATAGACACAAATCGCATATTTTTCTGCCTTTTGTATTGATCGTTTATCTAACATTGATGTAACAAAATGATTGGTTGGGAGCGACGGCGCCAATAATTCTGGCCTTTCAAATGTTTCTCCTACTGATACAATTTTTCGACACACAGGACATTTGAATTCCTCGGTTATCTTTCATTTACCGCAAGTGACACAATGTAGGTGTTAATACACGATTCACAGAAGGTGTGAAGACATGGTAGATATTTCGGAACTTTGAATATTTCCAAACAAAACGTGCAAGTTGACAAATCATCGAAATGATCAGTATCCTTAGTGGGTGTCGCCATTCTAAAAAATAAACTTTGACCGTTAATATTTCCGTGTGTGTGTGTAGATATAGTTGTTGATTTACAGTGCATTTACCTTGTTGCCACAGGTTTTAAATAAACAGTCACTAAAAGATACCATCGATCTGTAGAAAAAAATGTTTTAATAATTTTTACATTATGAAAGATAACATCTAGTGTCAAACTTTAGACATCCTTTTTGCAGTTAACACATGTAACATCAATACAAAGTTTGAAGCTTAAGTAATTAAGACTTTAATTAATTTGAAAAACTAATATGAAATTATATGACACATTGACAGACACTTTTTTCAGGACCAAGAGACGGTATCTGTAGCCAAATTTTAGAAATATTTGTTTATTTCCTTTAGTTTCCTTTCATTGCTGATTGCAGTTTACATGTAAATACAGTGTGGCAATATATATAAACGAGAACGTGGTAATCCTGCTGTTTATTTCAGATTCAGCGTATTACGTTAAATGTAGAGGTCTCTATCCCGCCAGCTCGCCAACCAATCCCCTAAACTATCTATTATAAATGTTTTGTATTGACCATTCATTTGACACATAATGTTCAGATATTTTTGTTAATGTACAATCGGCGGATTAATAAGTACTTGTATGAAAATATTACAGCTAGTACATGTATTCTGTGAATAGTTATCTACTTTTAGCCTCTTTTGGGGTGATACTTAATATTTATAGATATTTTGATTTGTTAACCGGCTGGTTTTAAAATATGATAGCAATGTTTCATCTCACAAAAAAACAGCTTGAGAATCTTACTAATATAAATACAGTTAGATTGCAGTCAAATTAGATTTTCAGGAACACTCAAAGTAAAGGGAGATGCAGGACAAAATATACATTACATAGCGTAAGCTGTCAGGAATCAAGGCACATAAATGATAACATTATGACAAACCAGAGAGTTTATGTATTTCGCTACAGTAACATATATTTTGTCAAATCGAATGTCGTTTACATATCTTAATTGCAAATGAAAACCAAAACCTTTTGAAATATTCCTACAATCAAGTACCTTAAGTAATTAACTCTGGAACGGTAAAAGTGAAAACTACGAAAATCAAATTTCATCTGTCTTCAGTGATCTTAAACATTCCATTCAATTAATTTCAAGAAGAGGTTCTCTATTTCTCATCTTAAAAAAAAACCCAAAAAATAAACATAAAATTGGTACTCCATTTAATATCCAGAAACCACAAAATCTTGAATATTTCCTAAAATCAAATCCCAAAACTCCCGAACAGTAAAAACGACAAAAATCAAACTTAATCTGTATTTAGTGGTCCAACACATTCCAGTAAAATGTCAGTTCATTTCAAAAAGCGGCTCTCTAATTTTAATCTGGAAACCAAAATATTTTAAATTTTTCAAACAATCAAGAACCATAACTCTGGAAAAGTAAAAACACAGAAAATGGATACAGCTCACATTTTGTGTCTTCACAAAAAATCTGCAGTCCTTGAATTTCCACTCTCTACATTTAGACAAGCTTTTTAACTTATGATACAAAAAGTAAAACTATTGTTACGGTCATAAATCACCTTTAAATTGTAGCCAACAAAAGACACAAATCAATAATAAAATTTAACAAGATTTATTATACACAAGTTTACAAGAACTATTATAATAATTGAAATGTCAATTTAACTGTTAAAATATATGTCCGATCCTTTTGTCCTTTCTTTATCGGGAATTCTTCTGTTCACAGAATATTATGTCCAATAAGTCACAATCTAGTATGATGTAGTTTACGTAAATAAAAAGTGTCAATCCAACTGAGAGAACTTCTGAGAATACCAGTTTATTAATGTCTAATCTGAAAGTCTAACTTTAGTGTCTGTATATATATAGTTTTCACGGAAATCTCTAGAACACTTTCGAAGGGAAACTCCTAGAAAATTGTAGAACGGAATCTTCTAGAATACGATAGAAGTTTAAATTACACATCGTAGATTATGATCATTCCAGAATCATTATGTAAGTCAAATAGAAAGTTTTAATCATTTCATCAGTATCTATGATTGTTCCAGTGATTTCTAAACTGCACAGTTATAACATTATTATGTTAACAACTATAAATATTATGTAAACATATTATACATATTATAAGGCCACACAAAACAATTCATAACACTATCAATACGCTAACTCAATAACTAGTAGACATTGATCAATCAAGTCGACAGATGGTATTCCTGGTGAAACAAACTAAAGTCACGACCACTACTTAGTATTTTTTTTTAATTTTTTGTTATATTTCAACGAGCCAAAGTTGTATACAAAATTTTACCAAAATCTAAGACATATCACATTTACTGTTCCTTGACCTTAACTAATATGTCAGGATAAAAGACAGTATAGAATTTGCTGTCTTAAGACACCACTTATTATCTCGCTACCAGGATGAACACTTTGTACGCCAGACGCGCCAGTGACGCTCAAATAGAAAAAAGTAAATGAGGCCAAATAAAGTACGAGTTGAAGAGCATTTAGGACCGAAAATTCCGTTTTTGCCAAATACAACTAAGGTAATTTTTCCTGGGGTAGGACATCCTTAGTATTTTGTAGCATTCGAAGTTTTGTAAACAATTTATTTATAATTGTGACCATATTAATGATAATGCAATTCAACACAGAAATGCTGACTGTAAAACATAAATCTTTAAATGTGAGGGACAGGAATTACAGGAAATATGAATAAGATGTTTCCATCAATCTTATCCGTGAAAGAATGGATATGGATTTTTCCACGAATGGTAACACGACGGGTGCCACATGTGGAGAGGATCTACTTACCATTCCGGAGAACTTTAGATCGCCCCAAGTTTTTGGTGGGGTTCGTGTTGCTTAGTCTTTAGTTTTCTGTGTTGTGTTTTGTGTACTATTGTTTGTCTGTTGGTCTTTTTCTCTTTTAAGCCATGGCTTTGTCAATTTATTTTAAACTTATGAGTTTGAATATTCCTCTGGTATCTTTCGCCTCTCTTCTACAGTTGATGCTTAATGTGATATCCGAAGGAGGAAAATGTTATTTTAACGTTTATGCGATCTTTGTGGCGTCAAAAACATAATAAAAGTAATGGTAAAATACAAATTGATTTTGTGGTTATTCTCCCAAGAAAAGTCGATTAAATTATTTTAATTAATGCTATAGATCTTGATTTTGTGTCCCGAAAATGTTACTATGTTCGGGGTTTTGTTTTGTTGTAATTGGAATGAGTAATATTAGTACTCTCCAAAATTCAATTTACAAATATGTTTGATGTTATACTTTATCGATACAATACAGTTTATATTAAGCGCCTCGGTGGTCTCGTAGTAGCTTGCTTATCTCCAGTCCGCGAAGTTTGTGGTTTTCAAAGACGGTTCAAAGGAAACACTTATTTACTAACAATTTTCTGCTTGTCCGCTAAGTACACGGTATTTAGGAATTAGACCAAAGACTGGTTGACTACAAGAGAAATGTCTCCATATACACTGGAATTTCTTCTCGTGTACTGTTATCTTCGAACTATATAGCTGGCTAGAAATCCGTACAGGGGTAAATTCAGTAAATAAATATACGTCATCAGGGACCGCCCATTTTGGGGAGAACTTTCTGTATAACACTGAAGTCATGTGCTCTTTTGATTGGTAGATAATGAGTTTCTATTGTTGCAAAAGATGGGGCTACATTTGTACTTTAATGAATGATAATTGAAAGCTTCTGATTTCTAAAGGTATGAATTTAATTCAAGACATAGATTTGCATTAAAGTCAATGGGAAATTTGTTACTGAATTTATCCCTACAGAGTGTCAGTCTAATACTGGACGCACCAAATGAAAAAAGTGATATTTTCTTTATTTTACAGCACTGTGTCAATACCACTACTGGTGTACTTTAAGCTTCGATGGGTTTTATTATCCCAAGAGTCAGTGATTTTGGCACTGCTATGATTTATTACATACATTCCTTAAATTTTCGTTAGTACATTTTGAAATACTCAAGTATTTATACATCATTGGCTTTCAATTTATAGGTTTGAACGCTTATAATGAAGTTATATTTTATTGTTATTTCTTCTCTACGGTATGTAAACTTATGTCGCTCCTCAGGTATTTTTTCATGTCGAAGCGTGTTTTCCTCAATCATATATTAACAAAATTAAGACAAATGAATATCAAATTTAGTTTTATAATTTAGACAAAAACAATAAGTCGACAAATATTATATAGAAAACTATATGAACTGATGTCAAGCAATTTCACATAGTGTTGCCTTGCCAGAATTCACGCATGTAACAAGAAATTTGTTGCTACCCGGTACAAAATGTAATGTCCATGGAACCTCAACTCCTATGGTTGACGCCGGAATTATTCTTATTAATTGCCCCTCTTTCGTTATTTGATGGATGTTTTTAGAAATATATGCAGCTATGTATATATTGCCTACAAGATCTTTTCCAATCCCTCTTGGACCTTGAAGTTGGTCGTTTGTATAAGTAAACTTTGTCGTATTACCAACAGCATAAGTGACTGATGTATTACTGTCACCATAAATATAATCTTGCTGCTCTGATGATAAAACAAAGTACGATTGACCACTAGTCTTTATTTGGTTAACTGTTTGTCCCGATAAATAGTTGATCCATGTCAGTGTTGAACTATGACTAGTTATAAATTCTTCTTCATTGACAAAGCACAATCCATACACTTTAACCCCGGGTAATTTCAACGTTTGTAACAATGTCATCTTATCACCATCCACTATACATACTCTCAGCACGGGGGAAGATACTGCAACTTTCAACTCTTTAATCCTAGCAATGTCCTCAGGTGCACCTGGAAGTGCCAATTCTGATAGTAAGCTTGTTCCATCGCTGTTGTATTTTACGACTTTGTTACTTTGACGAATTGTAAAAAGTAGATAATCATCTATACATATTCCACTAGTAGTACCTCCGCCATCACAAACGTTGATTACTTGTAGAATGTTGATATTTCCAGTGCGGAAGTCGACTTTTTCTATCTCAAGGTAACCACTCAAAGAACTAACAGAGGATTTATCAACTTTAATGTCTCCAAAGGTCTGGGTAATCTTGATAAAATCTGCAATAGAAGGGGAAGGACTGAAAACAACTGATACACTCTTTATATTTTTCACCAAATCTTCAATTTCTTGTTCAAGTTCTGATATTTTAGGTTCAATTTTTTTAATTTCCATCAGGCATTGCTGCTCGGATCCGTGTTCTAGAACACTGTCTATCACTGCTTTCCATTTTTTAACGGCGCTTCTCTGAGAAGAACAGATATCTACTTCGTCTTTTAATTCTATTCCAACTTGCTTCTTGGTTGAGGTCAACTCGGCTATCAGGGTTTCCTCTATTCGATCTACATGCTTTGAAATTTCCATTTTTATATCAGTCACTCTCGTCTTAATCTCTTCTGTTGAATTCTCAACATCAGCTAAATTTTTATTTCGATCCTCAATAATTTCACCTAACTGAATAACGTGCTCTCTTAGTTTTTGTGATAAACCAGACGCTTTCGTTGACCGTTTGATACCGGAAGCGGCTTTTTGAATTGAAGTGACATTTTCACATTTACGGTGTGAAAGTGTAGCGCATGACGTGCAACAAGGTTGAGAATGATCCAAACAATAAAATTCGACTATCTTCCCTGTATGCTCTTCACAGCTTTGTGTCTCACATACTTCGAAAAGTGTACTGCCTGGCTGCATTTCCTGAATGTTGAGAAGTTTATGCCTTGCTAACATCTTAAAGTTTTTGTGATATTTCTCGCATTGGTCACAGAAGGCCTCCTCACAAATCGTACATCAGCTTTTCGCTTTTGTACTTTCCCTGTTTAATAGACACGAATCGCACATTTTTTCTGCCTTTTGTATTGCACGTTTATCCAACATAGATGTTACAAAATGATTGGCTGGGAGCGATGGCGCCCATAATTCTGGCCTTTCCAATGTTTCTCTTATTGGTACCATTTTTCGACATACAGGACATGTGAATTCCTTGGATATCTTTTCCTTTCCCGCAAGTGACACAATGTAGGTGTTAATACACGATTCACAGAAGGTGTGAAGACAAGGTAGATACTTCGGAACTTTGAATGTTTCCAAACAAATCGTGCATGTTAACAAATCATCGAAATGATCAGTATCCTTAGTGGGTGTCGCCATTATCAAAATAAACTGTGATCGCTAATACTTCCTTGTGTGAGTGTAGACATAGTTATTGATTTACAGTGTATTTCCCTAGTTACAATAGTTAGATTAGATAAACAGCATCTAAAAAGATACCATCGGCAAATTTTGTTTTTAAAGGGGCAGTAGCTACGAGATATCAAAAAAATTAAAATATGATCAAATAAAATTTTATGTTAGTGAAATAATTATTCGCTTTTAGCAGCAAGTTTGGTTCAATTTTGCCAAAGTAAGCTAAGAAACATCGCTGATGAATAAGTGAATAATTCGACCTCATTGCATCCGTATTCATGTAACCTTCAATTAAACCCCTTAGCCAGAGATGGGTTACGCATGAATTAAGCGTGTCCAGTTATTAAAAGGAAAAGAATGTCAACATTGAAAGTGAAACCAGGGTAAACCATTTGATTGACTGATTCGATCCACAAAAACTCATTCTTATACGGGTAAAAACGATGATTAACATATATTTTTAACCTATAATACTAAACCAATTGCAAACTGAGCTAGAAAATCCGATTGCACGAGTTCGCTATCTATTTATATCTATATTTATTTTTATATCGGGTTAAATGACCGTCGTCAGTCTTCGGAGGTCACCTCGATGGTTAATTAGATGGTGTCTAGACTAAAATACACACGAAATGCTGGTACATAATATCGAGCCAATGCATTGTAAATTGTTTATTTTAAACTTCTCATAAATTGGATACACGTTTTAGTATGTTATAAATCAAATATGAGAATTTGAGTCAAATCAATGAACTTGACAGCTGGTGACCCTTTTAAAGTACAAAAGTTCTTATGAAAGGAGATTTACAAGCCAAATTCCCTATTTTAATTGTCAATGTTGCATTTCATCTGAACATTTGTGTGTATTTAAGTTGGGTTTTTTTTTTTTTTTCTTTTTTCTTTTGCTGTATTTTCTTTACTATTTTCATTATTTTTAAATTATTTTTTCCATTCTTTCTTCGTTATGTTATTATTTATTCATTCTTGTTCCATATCATTGTTACATAGCATTCTACGTTTATTAGATTGTTAATTGGAGTTATTACTGTAAGGAACCATATCAGTATAAGCTATGTACAGCCTGTTTCTGAATCCTAATAGTATAGTGTGTTTTTGTATTATGATAAATGTGTGATGATGACGAATAAAAATGTTTAAACAAACAATGCTTTATATAAGTTTCTTAAAGCACCATCTAAGAATATTAAACAAGGAATTACTGATATTCTTCAGAGAGCGAGTAAATACGACCGACAACTCATATAAACTATCGTTCTACCCAAAACTTGCAGAAGACTACACTACAAAAGTCAAAAAGTCTGAAAAGACCAGTTTTTGTCTGAATTTGCATGAATTTTTACTCGACATTCTTAATTTGTCTGAATAATTTTTAAAAATTCTTGACATAGTATGAATTTGTCTAATAAGGTTCTTGATTTTTCTTGACAAGTGTCTTGACAGTATGAACATTGTCTTAAAATTTCTCGACACTTCCTGTATCATCTGATAAGAGTCTGGATTAGTCTCGACCAATTCTTGACTGTCTTAAATTTGTCTCGATCTGTCTTGACATATTCTTGACATTCTTAATAATGTCTGAATATGTCTCGACATATTCTTGACATTCTAAATAATGTCTGAATATGTCTCGACACATTCTTGACAGTCTTAAATATGTCTTGACACTATCTCAACAGTATAAATTTCGCCTGAAATGTGAACAGACTTATTCTGCACTGTTTATGACATTCTATTGCTGTTATATACTCCTTTTTATTATGGCTAAACTAAACTTTGAAGAATCAAGGAATAATTTGGTATAGTAAGATACCCTTTTGGTGCAACTAAGTTGGAATACCCTGAATAATCCCCCATGTAGTTTAATTTTGATTTATTTTTATTAAACATTTAAGTAATTGTTTTCACTTGGAATATAAGTCGAAGGTATTGACAAACAGCATTTAGATTTTTGCCGTTTGCAAAACTGCCAGTCAAATTTGCTTTACTAAAATAGGTGTCTTGTATCTCTTTTGGACCCCACAATTCATCTTTTGGGTTTGTGTGGCTAAAAAAAAAAGGGGGGGGGGCTTTCGTTTAGGTCAAAGAATTTGTTCCCATCTTGATTCAAAAACCTTATTCATTTTTATTTCTATAGAAATCATTGATAGGACCCATTATAAATACATTTTTTTTATTATTCCTGTAGTAGATAATAATTTTCTTTTAATCTTTGGGAATTTTTCAATTTGTTTTTATGTTAAAATAATTAACTTCATAGTTTTGATGAAGAAAATCCATTTCAATTCAATTTTTTTTCATCAAAATGATGATTTTCATTTTCATCTATCAACAAACTTTTTAAATTGTAGTGGCATGGTCGGTCAACTGATAAGTTGTATGGCTGATTACAGGTAAAGCAATAACTTCTATTTGACAGTTGCGTGTACTCTGGGGTGTGGAATACCTTAATTTTATGGGGAACATCCTGTCCATGTGTAATACTTAATATATTCCAACAGATGACATTACACAAATTTTTCTTCTGTTAAATGAATGATTTGTATATCATCATAATTTGCTATTTATATAAACCACATTTTGGTATAATAATTATTTACCATATCGACATTGAATATTATGAATGTAGAATGAAATATGTCTACAGTATGATTGGTTTGAATCATTTAATTTATAAGATTTAGGAATCAAAATTTGTAATTATTTAAAAACCCACACTGAAATTGTTTTATATCAACACACCCACATTTGAATTATTTTATACTTTAGATTTCATAGCCATATTTGCATTTGTAAAAATATGTATATACCCAAATTTTCAATTATTTTACATGCCCAACTTTTTTTTTTGTTGTTGTAAAGAAGTGTAACTTGAAACAACAGTATATCATATAAAGAGAAATAAAGATTAAAGTTAAATCATGAATATTGGTCATGATTTGTAAAACTCAGAACTGTCAAGTAAATTTAAGACACGATTCAAAATGTTCAGAATATGTCAAGCCATACTGAGAAAAAATAAGAATGTCGAGAATATGTTGAGAAATTTCAAGACAGTATTCAAATGTCAAGAATTTGTCAAGAAATTTTAAGACCATATTCAGAATGTCGAGAATATGTCGAGTAAATTTCATACAAATTTAATATAAATGAGAATTTGTCAAGAAAAATTAAGACACAAGTCATACTTTTGGAGAATGTCGAGTAAAAGTTCATGCAAATTAAGACAAAAACTGGTCTTTTCAGACTTTTAGACTTTTGTAGTGCTAATTCTGACTCATTATTTTAAATTGTTTTAATCCTTTTATTGTTCAAGGCTCTTAAACTTCGATATTGATTTGACCTTCCAATTGTTTGATTAAAATGCCACTGGCGAACTTAATTATAAGTCTGACCAGTTTCTTTGATAATTTTAACGATGACTGGACCTATGCCACGGCTGGGGGACGCTTCATCCCAAATGGTTTCACCAGCATAGTACAGTTTGTGCTGACATAAATTATCATTGATACGGTCAATTTTTGTAAATGTAATGTTCATTAAAAGCAAAATTCATTCGAAAAGCATTCGAAACACAAACCGTGTTTTACCCACAACGCATAGATGGCCTAAGCCATATTCGACAGAACTTAATGGAAACTTGACACCTCACGTTTGTAACTTATTTGGCTTTCCAACTGTTTGATTCGACGCCACTGGTGAGTCTTATGTGGACGAAATGCACTTCTGACGTACTAATTAAAATCAAGCCATTGCTTTTCTCGTTTGCATTGTTTCTCATTTTGTCATATATATGTAGAACTCGGAGTTGCGATGGGGACGCTGGAGTTTGGTGTCACGCTGAAGTGCGATGATCTTCGCCGAAGTGTGATGGTTCTTTCGCTGATGGTCTATATGACGCTTGAAAGCTAGCTTAAAATCTACAGATGTGCAACTATTATGAGAAGTAGATTTTTTTATAAGTTAGTATATTAATTTGCATTCATCATTGTCCATAAATCATTTATGGCATTTAGGTATCGATGATATGTAGGTGTATAGTTGAAATAATATAATCGTAAAAACAATTATCATCAGCAATAATTCTGTTTACCATGCAAATTATGATTATGCGATAATCGTATGATGTTTGAATATATTCTGTAAGTTCCCTGCTAATATTGTAGTTTCATCTATACCTTTAATGTGCATGTCCTTAAACGGTGTTTGCAACACTTGAAATACAAAAAAAATTATTTCATACTATGAATGTTCTTAGTTGCAGTTTCATACTAAATGAGAGATCGTTCTATTTCATTTTGCTGCATACTCTCAATGATTTACTTATAAACCTGAAAATCTGCTTCTAACAAACAAATTAACTTCTACATCGACATGTGAACATGAAAAGCATTGAAAATATAGTTTATGTAATATATCGCACTTCAGCGTTACCACCAATTAAAAAATTCAACAAACGCATGAATGGTCATCGAAGTGACTACACCTGCAAGCCCGACCTCCCCGTAAGTCGTCATATGAGATCACCTGGGCACGCCCAAGCTGATCTCAAAAACCTTACCATCACAATCATAGACCACAACGAGGGTTGGTCAAGGGCCGACAGACTTGCTCGGGAAAGGTTTTGGATATTAAAGAAAGCTAAGGACAGTTTCCCCAGAGGGCATAAATGAAAAAAACATAGAATGTTTCACTCATTTTCCCTACCATCACTCATTTTCCTGCCATCACTTATTTTCCTGCCATCACTTGTTTCCAGTAACTCCGGCTTCTGTACTAGACTCCTACATTTTTAAGGAATTTTTTAATATTAATTGTTTTAATTACAGGGCTCTATTCATTTGGGGTGGATGTAAAAGTACGCAGTCACGTTCAATTATTTTTCTTATCATGATCAAACTGCTATTTATTTGGGGTGTTTAAATACGCAGCCACTGTTTGAATAACTCTACCGGCGTTGTCAAATTTGAAATATTATACAAGCTTAGATCGGTTAGTGCTGTTTATTGGGAATGTATTTCCACGCAGTTGTTGTAACATCTTAACTGTCGTCACCTTTAGAATTTTAGAATTGTGCAAGCTCATATCGCAAATTATTACTATTTTTATTTTAGGTATGTCGTTGCGCCGGGTTTGGAAATTTTAGAATTGTACTAGCGTCTCTATGATGTTCTGGTAAAACTGTTTTTTTTTTGTATAGAATTCAAGATTGCTATAGTTTTATAATCATAATAGGTTGATAAGAATCATTTTACATCGTGATCATACTGATGAAGGATATCTGTTATCCGAAATATTTATAGTTACATTTGTTCATTTTATTGTTATTTTTGGTGAAGTTGTACCCTTTTAGACTGGTTATATATTATATTTTATAGTGTACTGTATCATAATTATATGATCCATCGCCCAGTAAGATTTATCGTTGGCTATTATTCAGTCATTTTATATATATAAAAGAAGGCTATTTGTTAAGCCGAAATGTTTGTCAACACGATTTAATAACAACATCTTCGTATAATACCATCTTATATTAGTATCGTTGTGCAAATCTCTAGACTTATATTATTTTTTCCTTATCTGCACAGTATCGTCTATTCTAGACGATCCGGTACTTAGTAAATTTGCTGGTTGGTCCTTTTTATAAACTTCTATATATATGATTAGATATACTTTTTTTAAAACCCAGAATAAATTGTTGCGTTCGAAGAGCTGTGATTGATTTACCTTCAGTTTGAAGTTGATCTCTCAGCCCAAAACATTGAATGCAAAAGAAGTATACATGTATAGATTATTGAATATTTTAAAAAGCTATATGATCAAAAATGACGTAAGATGAATAGCCAATTTCACCTATGGACAATAATGCTTGAGTGAGTAGAACCTTGGTTTCTTAAACATTTATATTATTATCAACGGAGAATTGAAAAAAGGTATGAACAGATATATAATAATCAAGTCAGTACCAAAGCAATCACTACTGAGCTGATGATATCTATTTAGACTAGCAGTCAACCAGCAGCGGAATCGTCCGAAATGCTTTTTCTTGGATTTACCTTCATCAGAAATCCTCAATTCCCAAAAAATGAAAACAATGTGTATACACACTTAGGAATAGATAGCAAACCTATGTAAAACACTAATTTAATGTTTTGTATAGGTTCGACAATATTTCTAAAAACAAACGCAAATTATGTAAATGATTGTCTGACAATATCAACTAGAGACTCTAAAGAGCCTGTGTCGATCACTTTGGTCTATGTGCATATTCAACAAAGGGCACTCTCCAACAGTGTAGACGAGAATAGAATTCATGACAAAAATCTCTTTTTTGTTGATCTTGTATTTCTTATCATTTATTCTGTTTAGTTTCACTCTATCTTCTGTAGTTTTTGCATAAAACACAAAAGAGGGTAACACAAATCCTGGTTTAAAGGCAATCAATCCTATAAAGAGTGACAGTCTACTAACTATATTGGCAAATTTTCACTTGTTAGTAGATCTTGCCTTGTGTTATTATCATCTTATAAATCAATTAAATCCTTCCTTATTTTATCATTTATGTGCTCAAATTTTGTGTTAATATGAAATATAAATCTCATATGTTTTTATTTATTGTTAAGGTCTTTCCACTCCGTTAGGAAAGACCTTATTGTTTTTCTAATGTTTTTTTTTTTTTTTTCTTTTTTTTCTTCCAACATTTTTTTGACATGCCCTCATCTTGTTTCTATTGGAGTTATCAAGACCAAATATGGACCATCGGTAGACCTCATCATGAAGTTTTACCAGATGACCCTGTTAAGGATTTCATCATCCCCTTTAGAAGTTATCTCCCTTTTATTGGTTTTTTTCAACATGGCCCCCCCTCGTTGTTTTTAAAGATATCATGTCCTTATTTGTACAATAGGTAGATCTCATCATGATATATTACCATATGAGGCGGCGAAATATTTCATCATCCCCTTTGAGAGTTATATCCCCTTGAAGCAATTTCTTTTATTTGCATTTTTCTTAAAAAGTATTAGACATAGAATCAAATTGAAAGTGGCAGCATCAACAAGAACAAATGGCAATGTTAATAAACATGAACAATTAGTTTGTTATCAACCCTTATAAGGAGTTATTTCCCTTTCAAAATTATACACAATTTTTGAAAAATTCTATTTCGAGAACCGGAAGTCGTAGAGACTTGGGACCTTCACCAATAATCTTTAATTTGTGTGACCTTTAATTTGCATTCAAGGTCAAAGGTCACTGAGTGCAAAAAAAATTTACGCTGCAATTTCAAGCTTACATATTAAGAAAACGATAAGAGTTTGCTGCATACATACTGCGTATAAAATGTTCCTCTCGACGAGCTCTACATTTTATACATTAAGCTCAAAACTGTCCGACCGTCTGTTCAAAAGTTGCAACGAGATAATTCTTAAAAGTATAATATTGTGTTTATATCTTTTTAAAGGTAACAGATATCTACCTACTATAAATTGGAAAAATGATCAGTATTTTCAGACCTTCAATTTGAGGTCAATGTCAGGTCATGATGAAATTTTACCTTGACCTTCAAAGTGTAATATGACCTTGATCTTGTGATATTTGAAAGGTCAAGTGGTCCTGAGTTGAATGGTGGTAGTCCCATGTCTCTACGACTTCCGGTTCTCAAGTTTGGTATTGCATCATATATTTGATGATTCATTATGACCTTGATGAACTTCGGAATTGTCCCAACTTTTTTCTGTAATGTTGTCCTTTTACTGTAGATCATTTTACTTTTAACATATTTGAGATAACTGTTGTCGTTTTAGAGATAATGCACTTTGAAATTTTGCGAGCGGCGGCATGTATTTCTGAATCAACAACAGGTAACCACCTGATATTTTCAGAAATTGAAGAGTTTAACATGGTTATATGTTTGACAAAATACCAAAAACATTCAATGAAAAAAAAACCCAAAAAATCAATTTGAAGTTTTCATGTTTTGCATTTACTTTGTAAGTTTCATAAGTTCTATTTATATAATTGATATTGCATCATTTTTGGCACTTTGCCAAATGGGGTCATTTGATATATCAAATTGAAGGTCTTAACGAGCTCTACTCAAAAATGAAAATGTTAAACCCCTTTTTCATCCTAGGGGGAAGGGTGGGGTCATTTAGTGCAAAAAATTCAAACTTCTCAGATGGTTAGGTTGTCGCATATCAAATGAAAGTCCATAAAGCGTACATTTCAAATATCAAATTGACGTCCCCAAAAAATGGGTTGGGTGGGGTCATTGAGTGCAAAAAATAAAATTTTCTTTTAAGGCAAGTTTGTTGTATTTCAAATGAAAGGTCGTAACATGTACATTTCAAATATCAGATTCCTGTCCTCAAAAAATGAGTTGGATGGGGTTATTTAGTGCAAAAATCAAACTTTCTAGAACATGGCGTTGTCGCATATAAAATGAAAGATCATTAAGTCTAGATTACATATATCATACTTCCGATCTCGAAAATTAAGGCGGATGGGGTCATTAAGTGTAAAAAGCGAAAAGTTTCAGAAGGTATGCTTGTCGTATATCAAATGAAAGGTCGTACAAAGTACATTACGAAAACATCACTTTAACAGGAAAGACCTTTCAATTGTTTTACAAACAATTGAGATACTAGTTTTATTTTTATTTTTATTCTGAAATATATAAACAAATATTTGGTAAATAATGAAAATTTGTACGCCTAACAAAAAAAGGTTTATAAAACAGTAATAAAATTAAACATTCCTTTTATTGTGGATTTGAATGATTTAAAAAAAAAAAGGAAAAGAATTATGTGGACTTTTTCAACTAACATTGATCAAATTATAGTTAGATTCAAAACATTTATAAAATATGTAACTATAAACTAGACATAATAAATTTATATACGCTCAGACACATTTTACTCGCAGAACTACTTTGTTGCTTATAAAAACTGTGGTATTTTTATTTTTTTATTATGTGTGGGGAACGTTTGTGTGTGTTTTTCCCCCTAATGAATAGGGTTAATTTACTACACATGTATTTTGCAGGGACTAGATGTGATTTTTGCGTCTTTTAAAGATATTTTATTCGTTTTTTATATGGTGGTTTAAAGACAAAAGTAAGTTAAATGGAGTTTAACCTAAACGAGAAAGAGCGATGACCGGGACTAGGTACGAATTTCAATACCTAATTTAGGTGAATCAGACAGAGTTGCTCCCCTTCAAAATATAGAATCACAACAAATGTCACGTTTTGCTACTCCAAACTTTTCTCATCTAACAGAGGAAGATTTGAAGCATGTTTATGAACCAGCAGAAGATTCATTTTTACTCCTCGATGCTATAGAAAATGATTACGAGTATCTTAGAAAACAAGAGTTAATATCTTACTTTATAGATATAACAAGTGACCACAAAAGGAAAACAGTAACAACAAGCAACAAAGAACTTTAAAATTATTCATGTTGATAGCTTATGTTTCAACTTTTAAAATTTCATATGTCTAGTTATCCTATTACAAAATAGTGTGACAACTATAACACAACAATGTTACAAATATTGCACATTATTGTGACAAACTATAAACAAACTCATACAAATATAAAAATTAATCAGGTTCTGGACAACCCGCCAAATGGGGAAGTATTCCCCAAATGAGTAACAATCCCTCATTTGAGTAATCATTTCATAGTGCTTAAAACAAAATTTTCTTCGAATGGGTCTTTTTACTTAAATGGCACAAATTTGTAGAAAATGGAACAACTTCTTCCAAAGAACTATATTTTTATTATGGGTTTTTAAAAAGTTAGTAGCCTTAAAAGTTGTCAATTTTTCGAAGTTTTCATTGGCTTGTAACTTCTCAGTGAATCAAGATAGGGCTATTCATCTTTTGGAAAAATTTGCTGCATTTTTCATGAATATATGCCTTATTAAGTAAAAAGACTCGGTCAAGAAAATTTAGTTTTTTAGCACTACCAAATGATAATCTTACTCAAATGAGGGATTGTTACTCATTTGGTAAATAGTTCCCCATTTGGCGGGTTGTGCCCAACCAGTTAATATGAAATTAGTAAAATAAATTTGTAATTATTAACTAAACTGTTAAACAAAACATGTGCCAGGAAGTAATCATCAACTATTGACACACATATGGGCCCTTTGTCCTGTTGCCAGTGTTGGCTAAAATGACTGCATTTACACCACAAAATTTATGCTTGAGTGCAGATAAACCTGTGCATCTGGAAAAAAATTAAGAAATAGCATGCCCTTGATATATTGATTTCAAATGCATGTTCCATTTTCTTTGACACATTCCCCATTTCCATTCTCAATTTTATGTTTCAGAAAATGAAAAACTTAACTTGGATTTGCCGTCCGCTTTGTTATATATTCCGGCAGAAGTTGCTATAATAATTGCACTCAAAGTAAATTTTGTGTTGTCCCTATTTTAGCCATAGGGGCCTCATGAACCTTAAAATTGTGCATGCAAGAAGTGCATTTTGTCTATTAAATACTAATAAGTGATTCTTGAATAAAAAAAGTTGAAAAGGCCATATAAAGTATCACACTCAAAAGGGGCCCCTGTTTTTCATTACAGACCAAGCATTTGTGTGGAAGTAGGAAGTGGATCAGGAGTTTGTATTACATTCCTAGCTAGAGTCCTTGGACAGTCTGCAGTTTATTGGTTTGTACAATTCAATAATAGACTCTTCTTGAACTTAAAAATGTATTCCTGTTTTCTCATCTTAGATTGCTCACGATTTTTTTCATTATTTTTTGTCCATAACCATTATGACAGACATTGTACAACTTGTGATCAAATTGGCACTAAAATTAGTTTATTTAAAAATTACTCCAGTTTACAAAATTAAATGTTCATCTATATATAAGTATTCCCCCACTCTAGGAGTGTCATATGGCTATATTACAACCACCTTGTCTGATCCAACAAACAGCTTCATCACACATTTATCAAGTAACACTGAACATAATGACTTCATATTTGATCGACAGCTCAAACAGTGATGAGTCCTAAGGTGTTAGTGCTTTTAAGATCTGTTAAACGCATATCTGCTGATACTACATATATTTTTATATGTTGTGTTGAATGAACTTATTATTTTGTCACACATTTCCCTATTTCTATTGAAATATCCCTATTTCAACTGAAATATGATTAATTCACATCTAGTCAAAATGCTAGTCTGCAGCTTGACAGTGACTAATTTTAATGCGTAAGTCATGTAAGTGCTGTCTGACACCTACTTATAAATACTTTGAATCTTGAGGGGGTATGCTTAGGGCAACAACTATTGCAATTTCTTGTTTAATGAAACTTGGCAATATTCCCTTTTTATTGGTTTAAGAGCAAATTAAGGACAGTAAATACTTTAAAATTTAAAAATAACAAAAAATATAGCAATCGTGAGTGTCAATAACTCACTACATGTTCATGAATAATATTGAGCACAACTCTCGCCAAAAACATATTTACAGAGAAAAAGTACATGTATGCCTTGTTTTATCTTTTCACTGGCCAACAAAAATATTTTGGGCAAGGCATGTACTGCTTGTTACAGAGAGTAGAATGAAGCATTGTCAGATCCTTGTAAGCAAAGAATGAACACAGAATAGTTATTGAAATTAGATTGAGGACATTGCTAAGTTAAGCTAATCAAGTCATTGACATTAAAACACAAAAGGTCAATTAGGTACATTTATAACAATATTTTGAGAAGTCATATAATGAAATAAAACTGGCAACCTGACAACAGGATGTAGTTAAAAATGAATACTGTAAACCAACTTATTTTCCTGAATACCAAAATTATTATTTAGTGCCCACTTCCTAGCAATTTTTGAATTTAAATAAGGCAAGATCAAAGTTTTACATATTTGTAACGATTTATATTTGGGTTATTTTTCTGCTTGCAAAAGTCACGAAAAAATAAATTGCTAGCGATAATTAGTTGGTTTACAGTATAATGTAAATTTATCTGAAATGATCTGCAAGAGACATTTCTTACTTAAAAGTGGCAGATTCAGGGGTGGCATAGAGGGCATATGTCCCCTTTGATTGGAAAATTTATATTTTTTTAGCATAACATTATCCCAAAAAAATCCTGGATCCACCCCTGATTAAACCTAAGGGAAATGACATACCAAAATTATCTTAATCATACTTTTCTGTTATTATTTCTTTTTAATGTGGACATGGTGAAATGATAAACCTATACTTTATATCACATGGAATTTATGTAAAAAAATTCACAATAAATCGACTTATAAAATGCTGTCATGTGCACTTAATTGATCAAAATTCTATAAAAAATCATTTTTATATGACTACAAAAATTTTTGCGGTCGTATATTGGTACAATGTATAACGTTGGCATCGTTGTCCGAAGACACATTGGTTTTCGCACAATAACTTTAGTTTAAATGAAAAGATCTCTATGAAATTTTACCATAAGGTTCAATACCACAAAAGGAAGGTTGGGATTGATTTTGGGGGTTATGGTACCAACAGTTAAGGAATTAGGGGACAAAAAGGGGCCAAAAATAAGCATTTTTGTAACTTCCAGACAATAACTTGTGTTTAAGTGTATGGATCTCTCTGAAATTATACCACAAGTTTCCATACCACAAAATAAATTATTGCGAACCCAATGAAAGTTTTCCACAGTGCCATCTCTATCTTGACCAGGTATTTAAACTTTTGCAAGTTCACCTGTCCTATTGAATGAATACAATAGCTATTTTTCTCTGTGTAGTTTATTCTCTGGGACCTTTAAATTTCTTCTAAGAGAAATCTATCATTCATTGATTAAATTACCTGTGTAAAAAAAAATTCTTATATATAGACAAAAATACTTTTTTTATACTCATTAATTGCGTGTGCTGATGTATTTATTCAATATTAATAATATATTTTCATTCAGTTTAATATAAACATTGATTCAATCATAAAAAGTTGATTTCTAACAAAAGTTTTATCAATGTTCCTATTGAAATTTGATTTTTTTTTTTTTAGTTATAGAATACATTTAAGAAGATCTTAATTTGAAACATCATTATTTTCAAATTCTTATTCATGTCAAACAATTTTTTTTTTAAAAGGAACAATGTTGAAAGTTTTGTCAGAAATCAAATTTTTATGATTGAATCAATGTTTATATTAAACTGAATGAAAATATATTATTAATATTGAATAACAATATCATCACACACAGTTAATGAGTATAAAAACAGTATTTTTGTCTATATATAAGAATTTTTTTTTACTCAGGTAATTTAATCAATGAATGATAGATTTCTCTTAGAAGAAATTTAAAGGTCCCAGAGAATAAACTACACAGAGAACAATAGCTATTGTATCTATTCAATAGGACAGGTGAACTTGCAAAAGTTTAAATACCTGGTCAAGATAGAGATGGCACTGTGGAAAACTTTCATTGGGTTCGCAATAAATAATTTTGTTGGGGGAAGGGGGGTCGATACACAACAGCATAGTGTATTGCACAAAAGCAAAAAATTGAATATAAATTCAAATCATATAACCAATTCTAAGTTTTTTGACTACAGTTATTTGGTGTCAGAAACCTATTATGTGTCAAATATTTAATTACAATCTAAATTCAGACCAGTATCAAGTGCGAATATTGTGTCCATTTTCGCCCCAACTGTTCAGGGTTGCCCTCTGCGGTCCTATCCAGCTGCGCTCGGCAAAGCATTTTGTTATACAAAGGTCACCTATTTTTTTTTTCTCAATATTGAATTTTATTTATACGAATAACATGTGGAGGAATAGAAGAATTAAATGATTTATAAATTGATAACAGAAAAAGAAAAAGAAAAGTATTTGCCGTTCAGATTTCATAAAAGTTAGTATATATATTGCAGATTAACAGATATAAGTATTTTTTCACAATGTGTCTATGAACATTGTAGGTCAACAGATATTAACCCAGTGGCTGCTAGAGTGACCAGAAAGACAGCAGAATGTAACAGTGTACATGTGGAACCAGTTATAACAGATTTGGTAAACTTTAAATTTGTTAGTGTATATTAAGGAGGAAATTGTATTTCATATTAACATTTACCAATCCTCTCACAAATAAGGTCATTTTTTTCATTGATTGATTGATTATTGGTTGCTTAACATTCAGTAGCAAATATTTCATGCATGTTGAGGATAATTTTTGTAAATTTGACAATTCTAGCATTACATGCCTATGGTATATATGTCTTTCAGCTGAATATTTTCCATTTGTTGCAGATACATCAAATCTTTCTAACCTCATTTATATTACATGTACTGTAAATTAAGAAATTTAGCCAATGTTTATATTATTGCAAAAATTGTGATGAGATAGGTGTCGCAAAAATAAAAAATAAAAATAATAAATAAATGGAATTATTTTTTTGAATTTACAGTATCATCAATTGCAACTAATAAAAAGCTTTTTCTAAAGAAGGAGAAATTGCCCTTCTATAGCACCTGTCTGACCTGATTTACACTGCTTTGTTATCGGATGAATAATGTCTCAATCTAAGGTTGTTTTCTGTGTAGTGTCTTCTGGACGAAGCATATTTTTTACTTCTTGATGCTCATTTATGACTATTATATATAAATGCTATTTTTCTCATCAGGTGACATGAATGTAATCACAGATTTGTACATTTAATACTGCTGTTTAACTCTCTTATTTTATGTTATCAGGTGACAGGACTACTACCAAGGTTATATAAGAGTGTAGATGTACTACTGTTCAATCCTCCTTATGTTGTGACTCCTCCTGAAGAGGTAATTAGGACTTAAATTATTCCTCTATAAATAAACATTTGCAAAATAATCATTTCTAATTACCTCGAGTATTTCTATTGTTTAACTACAAAATTATATGGATTTTTATGCCCTACCTAGGGTCATTATGTTTTTCGATCTGTGCATCCTTCCGTCTGTCCGTTCGTTTGTCCGTCTGTCTGTCCTGCTTCAGGTTAAAGTTTTTGGTTAAGGTAGTTTTTGGTGAAGTTGAAGTCCAATCAACTTGAAACTTAGTACACATTTTACCTATGATATGATCTTTCTAATTTTAATGCCAAATTAGAGTTGCGAAAACTGCAAAATAACAAAAAGGCGAGACATATCTCTGTTTAACATGGTATATGATTGAAGCAAGAAAATAAGTTTGGTGACACCATTTTTTGTTTTTATTTTCTAAAAGTATACTGTAAATAAAATTGAGAATGGAAATGGGGAATGTGTCAAAGAGACAACAACCCGACCATAGAACAGACAACAGCAGAAGGTCACCAACAGGTCTTTTATGCAGCGAGAAATTCCCGCACCCGGAGGTGTCCTTCAGCTGGCCCCTAAACAAATATATATACTAGTTCAGTGATAATGAACGCCATACTAAACTCCAAATTGTACACAAGAAACTAAAATTAAAAATAATACAAGACAACCTATTATCTCATATCTATCTGATAGATTTATTTCTATTCTCAAAAAAGTTTTTTTCAGGAATAATCTATGCAAGTTTGGGCAATTTTGCACAACTTATAGCTTGAAAAATAGCACTGTGACCATACTTATTATTATATTTTTGGAAAAAGCATGGTAAAATCTACAATTTCCCAAAGTATAAGAAAATTTTGAATTTAGGCTGTGAAAATAGACACAAGAATATGAACATGAGTAGGTGTGTTGTAAATATGTTTGTTTGTTTGTTTGTTTGTTTGTTTGATAGGTTGGTAGTAATTCCATAGAAGCATCATGGGCAGGTGGCACTGATGGACGACAAGTCATGAACAGATTATTTCCCAAGGTCAAGGACATCTTATCACCAAAGGGAGTCTTCTATCTGGTTGTAATTAAAGAGAATAATCAAGGTGCTTACATTGTTAAAATACAACTTTATGGGATTGATGTAAATGATTTATTTTTTGTGATTTGAAAAATACGGGAACTTAAAACGTAGCAAATATTTAAAACTTTTATCTTCTCTCCATACAAAAACATCAAATATTTCAGGAAAATGAATCCCAGCATATTAACTTATAATGGCTAATCATAAAACTATGAAATTACAAAAATAACTTGGTTTATAGTACTTCTAAATAGAATGCAAAAAGTACATTTTTCCATTATGTTGGTTGGTACCTTTTATGTGCCGATTTCTTTGCAAGTTTTTCTGTTTAGTTGGTGTAGAAATTTAGGCATTTAGATGAGAGAGGCATACATTTTCTATGATAAGCCTACTAATAAACAATTTTTTATTAAGTATATATAGTATTTATGAATGAGAAAAAAATTCTTATTGCAGATGACATAGAGAAGATAATGCTAAATGAAGGCTTTAAAATGGAAAATATAATTACAAGGAGAACCGGACCTGAGTTACTGTCTGTGTTAAAATTCACTAGGTTAACTAGATAGTGCATTGTAATCCAGGTGGAAGGCTCACCATTATGTGGTCAGAGTTACAGTAATGCATTATAATCCACAAAGAAGACTCACCATTATGTGGTCAGAGATACAGTGGATCATTATAAACACAAAGGGGACTCGCCATTATGTGGTCAGAGTTACAGTGGTGAATTATAATCCACAAAGGGAACTCACCATTATGTGGTCAGAGTTACAGCAAAGGGGACTCACCATTATAGGGTCCAGAGTTAAGAATTCAGTAATTAGGTACACTTCTCAACTATGTTCTAGCAAATGAACCACTGGTGGTACAGCATCTATGTTCCGGCGGTATAATAAACCAGTTCTGAGAAGGAAGTGCTGCCTTTGAGATCTAAGTTTAAAGGCAGATTTGATGTACATCACTGGCACAGAAATCAGCTGTTGCATAGTATTTCTAAAAGTCTGTGAAGTCATAACAAGACAAATTGATGCATATTATCAATTCTCCTAACTATTTATTACAACATTTATAGAACTTGAAAGTTAATTCCATCTATCATGACTTCAATATGATGATTTTGAATGTACTTGTTTAATAAACTTTATACATTCTCTGGTGACATTGAATTGTACCAAGTTACATTCAGATATTTTCAATAAAATCTGTTTTGTAGGCATATAACAAAGAATTCTTCAATGGAAGGGAACAGTGAAGAATAAATTAATTTTTCCTTTTTAGCTCACCTGACCTGAAAGGTCAAGTGAGCTTTTCTCATCACTTTGCGTCCGTCGTCCTGCGTCCGTCGTCCGTCGTCCGTAAACTTTTACAAAAATCTTCTCCTCTGAAACTACTGGGCCAAATTTAACCAAACTTGGCCACAATCATCATTGGGGTATCTAGTTTTAAAAATGTGTGGCGTGACCCGGTCAACCAACCAAGATGGCCGCCACGGCTAAAAATAGAACATAGGGGTAAAATGCAGTTTTTAGCTTATAACTCAAAAACCAAAGCATTAAGAGCAAATCTGACATGGGGTAAAATTGTTCATCAGGTCAAGATCTATCTGCCCTGAAATTTTCAGATGAATCGGACAACCCGTTATTGGGTTGCTGCCCCTGAATTGGTAATTTTAAGGAAATTTTGCTGTTTTTGGTTATTATCTTGAATATTATTATAGATAGAGATAAACTGTAAACAGCAATAATGTTCAGCAAAGTAAGATTTACAAATAAGTCAATATAACCGAAATGGTCAGTTGACCCCTTTAGGAGTAATTGCCCTTTATAGTCAATTTTTAACCATTTTTCGTAAATCTTAGTAATCTTTTACAAAAATCTTCTCCTCTGAAACAACTGGGCCAAATTAAACCAAACTTGGCCACAATCATCATTGGGGTATCTAGTTTAAAAAATGTGTGGCGTGACCCGTTTAACCAACCAAGATGGCCGCCACAGCTAAAAATAAAACATAGGGATAAAATGCAGTTTTTGGCTTATAACTCAAAAACCAAAGCATTTAGAGCAAATCTGACATGAAAAAAATTGTTTATCAGGTGAAGATCTATCTGCCCTGAAATTTTCAGATGAATCGAACAACCTGTTGTTGGGTTGCTGCCCCTTGAATTGGTAATTTTAAGGAAATTTTGCTGTTTTTGGTTATTATCTTGAATATTATTATAGATAGAGATAAACTGTAAACAGCAATAATGTTCAGCAAAGTAAGATTAACAAATAAGTCAACATGACTGAAATGGTCAGTTGACCCCTTTAGGAGTTATTGCCCTTTATAGTCAATTTTTAACAATTTTTCGTAAATCTTAGTAATCTTTTACAAAAATCTTCTCCTCTGAAACTCCGTGGCCAAATTAAACCAAACTTGGCCACAATCATCATTTGGTTATCTAGTTTTAAAAATGTGTGGCGTGACCTGGTCAACCAACCAAGATGGCCGCCACGGCTAAAAATAGAACATAGGGGTAAAATTCAGTTTTTGGCTTTTAACTCAAAAACCAAAGCATTTAAAGCAAATCTGACATGAAGTAAAATTGTTTATCAGGTCAAGATCTATCTGCCCTGAAATTTTCAGATGAATCGGACAACCCGTTATTGGGTTGCTGCCCCTGAATTGGTAATTTTAAGGAAATTTTGCTGTTTTTGGTTATTATCTTGAATATTATTATAGATAGAGATAAACTGTAAACAGCAATAATGTTCAGCAAAGTAAGATTTACAAATAAGTCAATATAACCGAAATGGTCAGTTGACCCCTTTAGGAGTAATTGCCCTTTATAGTCAATTTTTAACCATTTTTCGTAAATCTTAGTAATCTTTTACAAAAATCTTCTCCACTGAAACAACTGGGCCAAATTAAACCAAACTTGGCCACAATCATCATTTGGTTATCTAGTTTTGAAAATGTGTGGCGCGACCTGGTCAACCAACCAAGATGGCCGCCACGGCTAAAAATAGAACATAGGGGTAAAATTCAGTTTTTGGCTTTTAACTCAAAAACCAAAGCACTTAAAGCAAATCTGACATGAAGTAAAATTGTTTATCAGGTCAAGATCTATCTGCCCTGAAATTTTCAGATGAATCGGACAACCCGTTGTTGGGTTGCTGCCCCTGAATTGGTAATTTTAAGGTGATTTTGCTGTTTTTGGTTATTATCTTGAATATTATTATAGATAGAGATAAACTGTAAAAAACAATAAATGTCGGCAAAGTAAGATCTACAAATAAGTCAACATGACCGAAATTGTCAGTTGACCCCTTTAGGAGTTATTGCCCTTTATAGTCAATTTTTAACCATTTTTTCGTAAATCTTAGTAATCTTTTACAAAAATCTTCTCCTCTGAAACTACTGGGCCAAGTTAATTATAGATAGAGATAATTGTAAGCAGGAAAAATGTTCAGTAAATTAAGATGTACAAACACATCACCATCACCAAAACACAATTTTGTCATGAATCCATCTGCGTCCTTTGTTTAATATTCACATAGACCAAGGTGAGCGACACAGGCTCTTTAGAGCCTCTAGTTCAATTCTAAGAAATAAACATACTATGTATAGTCAGAGAGGGTACACAATAATAATAAAGATCTACAAAGCTTTGGATGAAATATGAGTAAACTGTATGAATTAGTATAGAAAACAACATTGAGTAGACTGTATGAATAAGTATAGAAAACAACAATGAGTAGACTGTATGAATAAGTATAGAAAACAACATTGAGTAGACTGTATGAATAAGTATAGAAAACAACAATGAGTAAACTATATGAGTAAGTATAGAAAACAACAATGAGTAGACTGTATGAATAAGTATAGAAAACAACAATGAGTAGACTGTATGAATAAGTATAGAAAACAACAATGAGTAGACTGTATGAATAAGTATAGAAAACAACAATGAGTAGACTGTATGAATAAGTATAGAAAACAACAATGAGTAGACTGTATGAATAAGTATAGAAAACAACAATGAGTAGACTGTATGAATAAGTATAGAAAACAACATTGAGTAGACTGTATGAATAAGTATAGAAAACAACAATGAGTAGACTGTATGAATTAGTATAGAAAACAACAATGAGTAGACTGTATGAATTAGTATAGAAAACAACAATGAGTAGACTGTATGAATAAGTATAGAAAACAACAATGAGTAGACTGTATGAATAAGTATAGAAAACAACAATGAGTAGACTGTAAGTATAGAAAACAACAATGAGTAGACTGTATGAATTAGTATAGAAAACAACATTCATTATGTAGTGATGAAATTGAGAATGGAAGCGGGGAATGTGTCAAAGAGACAACTCGACCAAAGAGCAAAAAGTAGCTGAAGGCCATCAAAGGGTCACAAAAGTCATCAAAACTGTATTCGCTGCAATAGAAAAGCATAGAAACATTACACAATATAAAAATAATACTAAGAGGTATGAAAATAGCAGAATAACATGAGGGCAAGATTATCATATCTCATGGAAATTTTGTAAATACAAAGAGCAAACAAAGAAGACAGCAAGGGGGCAATAAAAACCGACAATACTATGCCCAAAACGAAAAAAGGTAAAAAGGACTACAGCCCACAAAAACACCACGCAAAAATTAAAGATTGGTCAACACAAACCCTTCTAAAAGCCGTTGGGGACTCAGTTGCTTCAAAGGGGCCAGCAGTTTCTTCTCTTATTAGTGGCCACAATGGTGTTACTAGTGATTAAATTCTAGAGCATTTCAGGTTTGCATTTTGGTGGGGGAGGGTGGGGGGGTGTAATGACTGAATGGAGGTAGTGGTCAAGAGATGCCATGGAGTAAAATGCTCAAATTTAGAATTGATTGGGATAATTAGAATCCCAGCATAAAGTAGAAGTGAGTCTTGTAAGTTAGGAGTAATGTTGGAGTCTGAACATTTTCAGGCCTGGGTAAATAAATTTTGAATAAATTTTATAGGACTCATGAATAATGGTTAAGTGTCTTAAATCCATCTTGGTTTTCAAGTTAATGGAATTTTACTTCAACTAAATTATCCATACATACTGAATTGAGAACTGCAGGTCACAGTGACCAGCTATTGTCAAACTATATTAAATTGAAAAGTGATATTAAAGGGTTACTGGATGCATATTGGTAATTATATATATAAGGCATATTTTTATATTGCATGAGCTTGCAAGTGCAATATATCTTCTTCAAGTGATAATATTAAACACAAAGTTGTATATCAAATAAAATTGAGAATGGAAATGGGGAATGTGTCAAAGAGACAACAATCGACCATAGAGCAGACAACAGCCTTGATAGATTGTTTTAAACAGTTTTGTCACTGTTTACATCACTAATTTGAAGTTCCTTTTTTTTTTGTACTAGTACAATATGATATATTATTGCACGCTTTTGGTTAGGGTCTAGAGGTGGATTTAGAGGGGGCCCGGGCCCCCCTTTTGTGGGAAAAATTTGGTTGATTATTCAGGTAATCACTGGAGCGAGCCCCCTCTTGTGGCAGTCAGTGGCCCCACCCCCCTTTATGAAAATTTCTGGATCTGCCACTGGGCTCTGTATGAAATATGTTCGTGCTATACAAAGAATAATATTATACGATATTCTTTTATTTGTCCATAGTGTAAGTTTCAGAAATAATTCCATTTAAGAAGTATGTCCATTGGAGAGAGGTTGGAATTGTTGTACAGATAACTTGTTGTTTTGTGCAAAAAGTGCTTTAATGCATTTACTTTCATCAGGAACGCTCAAAGCCGAATATTTGAAGATATTGGATTGTTTGTAATTAAAAAGTTATATTTTCAGCTGGATATATAGTTAACAAAATGTATTAGTCCGAGTGTTTTGGCAGCTGTTTTAGCACTGTGTTTTTTTTTTCTGTTTCCAGACATCGGGAATAGCATGTTCAACTTTGTAATAGTAACCTATATGTTTGAATCATGAATAATGTTCGGATGGCCATTCATTCAAAAATACTATTTGATTCTGATTGTATAAATTCATCTATAAACTAAATGGCAATTTGTTTTCTATTGTACTAAATGGGAGACCTTTTGTAATTATTTTATAGATGTCCTAGCAGTGTGACAGCTACAAGACATGCATATTTGTTTGCTGATTTTTAGAGAACACTCCAACATTGAATTTGTGATGGATTTGATTTTTAAATATCCCTATCATGAAATTATACAAAGACATCTCCAATCGATAAAATCCAACTCCCATTAGAAATGTATTCCAGTGACTGTGTAACCGGAGAGCATGATTCTTATGAGAAAACACAATGTCTCCAAATGGACCTCTGTGTTACAGGGCAGCGCTCTAACCGACTGAGCTAAAGAAGTACTTCCCTAGCTCAACTGCTTACGCCTGGCTAAGTATGCTCTAAGGGAAGCAATCCCGTCACACCAGTAATGTAATGATGGCCGTAATGTGCATGCAGATGAGTACTTCAGCTGTAAAAATGTAGTGATATACCGTACTACCCTTTCCTGTATAAAAACAGTATGCAGGTGGTGGTGTAATTACTGTTAATTTCGTCAAATTTGTTGTAAGTCCAGTGGCTTGGCTGCCTCATTTAACTCCATAAGGGGGGGGGGGGGGGGGGGGGGGGGTATGGTTTTTTTTTGTCTGAGTCAGAAAATCTGGATTAAGAATTTTTTTTTGTCATCTGCTTGACCACAATATTTTTTTCGTCAAATTGGGGATCAGAATATTTTTTTAGGAAAAAACCATTCCCCCCTTCCTTTGAAATTAATTAAATGGTCGTTCCCTAAACTCTATATGCCAATGTGACTTTAGATAATTGAATCTTTTTGATTGGAATCTGCTCTGAGACCATTGGTTCAACTTGGGATGGGAATTTAAAACCTCGTGTATTTTGTAGGGTGAGTGCCACGCTCTTTGCATGTTTCAAGGCAGCATTTCTGCCCCAGCCCGGCAAAATGCCATCTTTTTACGTGGCAGTCATATTTTTTTTTTCATATCACCCCTATTGTATTATTATTAATGACTAAATTGTTCTATAATCTTGAATATGCAATGAAATAATAATCAGCCGCCGGACGTTAAACAAGCAGCAAACAATCAATCGATTTGAATGGAACTTAAAGACTTTTAACAAGTGTAATTAGTAGAATGTCTTTCAATTTGTTGAAAGAAATCTTTTTCTTCTTCGTTGAATTAAAAGTTAAAATTGTCAATAGCCTAGCTTTTCGAGGAACATCATCTGAATTTGGTATCACGTGTTTCATAACAAAAGAATGAAAAATTGTAAGTTAGTCCAGAGTCCGTGATTGGATACAGCGAATTAATCCCGTTTACCCCGTTAATCCCGGTCGCCGGAAACAATAAAATTCCGAAATCTTCGGCCTAGGATTCTAATTGATCACTGTAGATTGGTCACAGTTTAATAGGATTACATCTCAAATGGTATATATATATATATATATACATTGAAAAAAAAAGAATAGAATGACCAAAAATATTGAACAATACAATAGAACACATGAAAATCGCCAACAATGGACTCCGGGAAACATTGTCTTACAAGCAACAGATAGCCCGACTTAGTAAAAACACAAAATGTGAGCTGACCAGTTTTACGTGCACAGAAACCTCCCAATTTGCTTACTAGTATCTATCTATATATATTTACCATATATGCATGTCGTAAGAGTAAACCCGATTATATCTTTAACAAAAGACTGCACACAACTCGTCTATTTAATGATAAAGGACCTCGAAATGTAGAACAATTGAAACGAGAAAAACAACGGCCAGATTTATGAACCAAACAATACAACGAAAAATAACACCCTGACAATTATGAACAATAATATTTTCCGACAAGTGGGACTATACACAGATGCTTACTTCTCAGACTTGAACCTTGAAACAATATACGTAACATTTCTTTTTTCATGTTCTCGTAAATTATCTACGTTGGATACTAGTATGCAATGTTGGTTGGCATTGACGAAGTCGAGGAGGTAGGACTAACGCCTGTTGTTTTAGACAGTGTCGTCAAAATATTTGTGAAAGTTTCTGATTCCGTTAGTTTACGAGGAATCATTAAACGTATTTGAATGATATTTGGAAGGTAATTGTATAAACATTGTAATACCTAATTTCTATATGGAGATTATTTTGCCTAGCTCCCACAGTTTTGACTTTGAAACTTTTGCACATTTTACATTTTAAAGTTTGTGATTATGTCACTGTAAGGAACACCACTTATTCTACCCCATTCCCTCAGTCATGCTTCATCGACTGAAAATTTTGCATAGTTTATATGTTCTGTCGTTCATATTAAAACCCTTGCATTATACTATCAAAAATTATATACAGGCGAGACACCTCGATGTGTCAACAGTTCATTTACATTTTAAACATTACTTGAAATATAATAAATTCATTAAGACCACACAAATATTTTTATAAAAAGGATTCTAAATTTTAAATATTCTAAAAAATCCATAGAATGTTCAATGTGATTACTTCATGGTGAGGATGCAATGTCAGGAACTTTAAAAGAATAAGAGAGGGTGTGTATGGGGGGTACATAATAGAGAGTAATGGGCAAAAAGTATAAAGAGTAAAGAAAAATGGA